TTTCGTTGTTATATTTATTTTCTTCACAATCTATTTAAGGGCTAAAAGCCCTAAGTGTGTCTTATTGTGTACTTATGTTTCTACATTTCTATATGCAGTGAATGTTGTTGTCTTAGGCACGGCTACATGAGGGCAGTGCTGTGAGCTAAGCTAGAGTGTGGGCTTGAAGCACGCCATCTATTCGGTGTTCTCCTTTGGTAAATGCCTGCTGCCCTTTCTGCCCATGCTTTCCACTTGCATCTGCTGTGGGACAGCACTGTGCATGCAGCCTAGTAACACAGGTAAGTTAATGTGCCCCAGCACTGCTGTCTATCTTTGCAACATCGTCTTTTCTGTAACCATACTGTAAACTTCCCTGCGTATGGAGGAGGCACTCTGTGCAGCAGACAAATCCACAGAGGGGCTGAGCAGATATTCTTGAGCCACATCAGTTTTGTACTTGAGAGCACAATATTCTATAAATTTATTTTTCCACCTGTAAGACCAGGATTTGGGACTTCCACTTTTTTAAAACTCTGTGACAGACAGTGAGTACTGTTGCAAAATACTCTGAGGGAAGTGAGAGGCGATATGATATCTATAGCAAAGCAACAATGCCTGAGGATTCCAGGTGTCGCTTCCTGGCTTTACATTTATGATTGCTCATGAGGTACCATGTGCAGTGCCAGTGTTGGGATTCAAGAGGACTTTCTGCGAGAGAATAGATACATGAGCAATCCTGTGTGAGAACAAGACTGATAAGAGCCTCAGCCGAGCAAGAATGCGATAAGGACGTAACCCTGACTGAGGGGGGAGAAACTCAATGAGACAAACAACCCCCGGAAGGGGCTGGGACGGAAGAGGAAGTTACACCAGGCAGGAAGCCTGGCAAGGCTGATGTGGCACTTTTTATCCAATCATAAGAAGATTTAAAGCGCGGGCTAAGTTAACTGTCCAGTCTTGAGGACTTGTACTGCATGTTACTCACGTGTGCGGGAGAACATTATAAAAGGGCTTTCTTAGTTGTAATAAAGGGGCATTGCTTGATCACATTGGTCGTGTGCGTGCTCAGCTCTCCCGCAGTGCCAGGACTGAGATCTTGTCTTTTGCAATGTCTCACAGGTTTGTTGAGGGAAGTGAAGTACCAGGTACTATGAATTTGGTGTTGTAAAACCTTTTGACTTCAACGAATGATTCTGTGCCTGTTAATTTGGCTTATGTAGGTGATTTACAAACTTAAAGAGTGCTGCTGCCCTTTTTCACCTTTGATTATTTCCATTAGAAAGGAAATCAGTGATAGTCAAGAATTTATTTGGCACAAAAAGTTTGGCAACTTCAGGCACATTTGGCAATGTTCTTTCTTATAGAGCCAAGCCCAGTGTTTTTTTCAAACAGCAACTTATCCAATCTTTGTGGTTTTCTTGTCATTAATGTTTTTTAGACAGCATCTTTCTTTTCATTTCTGAATACTGCTTTCTTTCCATTCTTGGGCCTCTTAATTTACAGTCTCAAAAACACTGTTTCCTTCTTACTGCCTGTGCTTTGGGCAGCTTCTATTATTTCACTCTTCAGACTTCGAGGCAAGGTTTAATTCTTCTTTATATTTATTCCATAGGGAGAGCAGCTTCCATGCCTATCAGTGTGCCATAGCAATAGGTAGAGATTGCTAGTAGTAATGTTCATGAAAGCCTTTCAAATGTAATTACTCAATGGGAAGATCACTGAACTTGCAAAACCATTCACTGTTAATACCAATTAACTAATGAAAAGACTAAACGTTTTATGTTGGCTCTCAAGGAATTTTAGGCTTTTTATTCAATCCAGTCAGAAATCCTGGCCAACCTGTGAGAAAGCAAAGCTATAGAGAAAGCTCCTAAAACAATCACTGGTAGATGGAACAGCAGGATTAATCTCCCATGGCCTGGCCCAAAGTGTGGGATTTACACAGGTTATAAAGAATCAGCTTGAGATTAACATAGACTTCTTAGTACGTGTGTATAGACATACTTGAGGTAAGGTGTGAAATGTTGACAGCACAATTTAGTGTCCTGGATTGCAGAACAGTCTCTGGGCAGCTGGAAATACCAGTGACATATTGGCAGCTCAGGTATCCCTGAGATGTTCTTGTGAAGTAGCATGCACATATTCAGTACCTGAAATTTTTACAACAGCATCTTTTGTAAGGACTAGAAGAAAGGTATTACTCAGCAGGAACTCAAAATCTATGATTACAATTCAAAGAAATCAGATGAAATGTTCTGACAAAAGCCTATGTTGCCAGGATTGCTTGAAGATAGAACTTGATGTATCAGTCAACTAAAACCAGAATATGCCAACACAAATCCAGTAGATTTCTTAGTTTCCTTACAACTTCTTTGCTTTACTTGAGTAGGTGGTAGAACATAAGCATCTACATTTGATGTGCTCTGAACCAAACCTTAATAGGAGTGATAATGCTTCTGAAGAAGAAATGGGTTAGCGGAACTATTACTTTAATATAAAATCTCAGCACAGTGGTCTTTTTGGACATAACTACAAGAACACTATGACCAGACTTACACTCAGAGGAAACTGGGTCTGGAAAGGACTCCAGAAGTTCATCTAGGCCATCCTCCTAAGGTTCACACCAGATTCAATTTGGCCTAGATTGTTCAAGGATATTTAATTAATCCGTACTGAAGAATCTCTGATGTTGAAGACCTCACATGGCCTCACCTGCCTTCCGAGGCAGTTTCTTCTACTGTTCTCTCTGTTAGAAAGTTATTCCTAATGTCCACCCCCAAGCTTCTGTACTGCAATTTTCTTTCTTGTCCTCCATACTTAAAACTGACATTACCATAATGCTGGAGGGGACGGTGGGAGAAATAAATGAAGTGATTTTGGGGGTAGGAAAGCCACTTTGTGTGGGTGCAGCTTTTTCTGGCAAAGCTGAGTTTTTGCAGATACCATTTTTGTATTTCCGAGAGACTAGAATGGTCTTTTCTAGTTAAAAACTGCACAGATTGCACAGCTGTCCTTGCAAACCACTGCCGCAACAAATCTTATCTAAGTACACATTCAGGTAGCGTCAGGGCTTTGTATTTTTGGCTTCACACAAACATTAATCTGTATTTAATTTGAGAGATTTGGGGCTAATGTCCCATAAGAAGTGAGAGTGGCAGGTCCCTTTTGAATGAATCCTTTCATTGGACCAATGACTCAGGGACTGTACTGAGCATTATTTCAAGTAAAAATGTGTTAGGATGTTAAATATTGATAAAATTATAAAGTGTGCATTACACTCGCCATATTGTGGGGAAGATATGCTGGTCAGAGACACTGTGGCAGAAGCAAATTTTACTCATGTATAGATTTCCTCAGAGGATACTCCTGGCTGTCTCCAGAACCATCAGGATTTGGGAGAACTGGAGTTATCCCTTCTGATGTGAAGGCCATGTTTCCCCCTTCTCCTCAGTTCCGACTGAAGGGATTTCTAGACAGCACTGATGCGGGGTGTGTAGTTACACATTGTGAGGACTTAGCAAAAAGGCCTTTTTAACTCATGACTGTCAGACCTCTTCTTGTCTGTGTTCACATCTGCTTGTTTCGTGTAATGGCACACAGAGTTTCAGAGCAGATGTTTATATTTCAAAGCAAGATGCTTATATTTCTCCTTCATTCTGCCTATTATATGTGGGCAGAAACATTCCCTTTTCTGTGGGTTTTCAGAAGCCCTTTGTATCTGGATATCTTTGTGTCCAGATAGAGAATAAAGAATGCCCTATGGAATGTAGGGTGATGCCCATTACACTGGCATCAAGAATATATGTTTACCCTTGTCACAGTAGTCTGAGCTGAACCCGTTAAAATACAATGATGTACATATACAGCAATCTTGCAGTAGCAGCTGAGATATGCTCGTTTTCTGAGTCCTCATATTTTGATCTCACCATTTGTGTGATGCACTAGTCCACATTTTTCTGTTCTTTTTTTAAATGATAGGAAACTTTTCTAACTACATTAGTGGTTTTGAGAGCTCACGGACTTTGATTATTCAACTGGACCAACCTTTGGGTTATGACTCAAATGTTTCTGAAGTAATGTTGATGGAAAAATTCACGGACTTGCTTTTGTCTCCTCCCTAGAGTATATACTATCACCACAGTAGAGATCTGGAAACTGACAGCTCAACATCTGGAATGAGGTCCCAACCAAACTCTGTGAAAGAGCCATTTAAACTAGAGAATTCAGCTACTTAGAGGCCATGTGGGAATTATGTTGTTTTGTAAAGAGCAGTCTTGTTGTTCTCTAAGTGTTTTGACATATCTTCAGCTGGTATAAATGAGCATCACCAGTGAAAAAAGCTTCTTAAAAATTCTTGAGAGTTTGGCCACATATGAATGAAGTTTTTAAGCCAAAAAAATCCCCAAACCAAACCACACCAGGCATATCAGTTATGTTTGTCTTGACATTGTATATAATTTGTGTTTAACTATCCTAGGAGTACTATAGATTAGATTATTTTAGAGTTTGGGGATTTTCTTTTAGTATTGTAGTATTTTTTGATGTTGAGGCTATTCTTTCCAGACAACATGCATTAGGTACCATTGATAGCCATGACGTTTTCTTCAGTGCGGGACAGACTTAACCAAGACACCTCTCTATTTTAAGGATCTAAAAATAACACATGGGGTCCATCTGCCTGTCATGCATAGGCAGAAAGCAGCCTTCTCCCTTCATCTGCTTGATTTTCCTTCAGCCTCAGCATGTTATCTGACTTCTTCTTAAGACCCCAAAATATTTAAGAAAATAAAGCCAGTACCTTGCAGTGATTGTAGAGCTTGTGTAACTTATTTCCAGCAGCTTTATTGGGATGAATTTGTGTGTTATCCAGTGCTTGATCTGGTGGCCAGTTTTTCCAGTGTGCTTGATAATGGTATCATGGTGTAGCATAGTTCACAAGATCATTTTTATTTTATTCTGTATTTTCAGGAAACCACTTCAGTTTGCAAGTTGTTGCTTTTTTAAAAGGTATTGGAGAAATGGGTGAGGAATAACTGGGGCATCAATCCACACTGAACTTGTAGGTGGGTTAGTAGTTTATGTGAAAATCATTCCTGTTACAGAGTGAATGTTACAGCATCACTTCCTGTATCACACCCATTCCAGGATTTCTGATTGTACTGTTATTTGTTATTGTCTGACAGTCAGCATGAGCAAGGGTTATTTGTGCAGGTGGAGCCAGTTCTGATACCCTTATTCACTGAAAAACATAACTACTGCTAAGAGTGTGGATAAAGTTTCTGAAACACTAAATAACACATACTAGCAAAGGGATGCATTGCATCACTATAGCTTGGTCACGATGCTCTCATAGCATTAGCTTGTCAGACTGGTAAAATTTATGTTTTGCTCTCTTACCACTGCTGATTATAACTGAAGTGTGAGACACAAACAGTTTGTTCCTGAAACACTAAATAAAGTGCAATAAAGTGGCTTCTCCACGAGCCATTAATAAAACATAAAAAAACCCCCAAAACACCTACCACACAAAATGCTAAAATGTTTTAATTTTTTATGTTTATTTTTAGTCTTGGAACTGAACCAGGTGATTATTCCAACTTACGGAACTGTGCCAGCTCAGCAAAACCTTAACACTCCTGAATGGGTGGGTATTTCTTTACTTTAACTATAACTTCCTGTTATCTTTTCTCATATAGATAAACAATAGTCAATAGCTCTTTCAGAAGACTAGCATGCCTTTGCTTTTGCAGCACATGCAGGTCATCTGTGTGACTGAATCTGAGTTGCTGTATCTCTCTTTCATAAAGGTATGTGAGGTCATTGACTCAGCTGTGAAAGTGCAGGTTGTCACAGGCACTGGACTCAATTAAAAGTGACCAATATATATTCATTATAAACTGATACAAGCACATACACCTCCTCTCTATATATAATTTTCTACGAGTGTGTATAGAATTTCTCTGTGTGTATACAAGGATAAATAGTTACGAACACACCCTACATATAAACACACATACCTTATAGATTCATACAAACCCAGGTATTAGTTGGCCAACATGTGAGTTCAGGATTCATCTTTATAGAAATAGGCTTTATAGAAGTTTCTTACTCCAGTCAGAGACTGAAGTGACAAGAGGAAAAAAGACCTGGAGTTGTCCATTTCCTTTATCCAAAGTTCAAGTTCCCCAGCTTGCCTAATATTTTCTTCAGCTAACAGGCTTCTGGCTCTAGCTCAAGATCCCCTGCCCTAGATCTTATTTATCTCCAAGGGCTGGCTAGTTGACCCCAACAAGTCCTGCCATGGCACATGCTTTGCCAATCTGATGCCCAACTGGCATGCTGATGAGTCCATTTTTATTTTTTCCTCTAGGATGGTACAAGTGAGGTCTGCAGTTGCACAAGTAGATAGCTATAAGCTTGGATTAAAAAAATGTGTAAAATCATATTCTAAAGCTAATAGAGCAGTTCCATATAAATCAAAAAAGCCTGATCTGTGTTTCATTACTCTAATGACAGAGGTGTCATTGGCTTTGGATGTGTATAGGTTGACTTTTCTAGTTAAGCTACCTCTACAAGTGGATCAGTGTTTCCAGGAGGACAAGGTGTAAAGAAACAGGTTCGACAGTGTCAAGATTGCTTGTTGGACCAATTAATTATGAGCACCTAAGAACTTTATGATGGTTTTCATATAGAGAAATCATTCAAGAAAGTGCTGTAATGGTGCCACCAAGTAATGAGAGCTGGAGCTGGTTCCCAGTCAACCCTGCCCTAGGCATTGACATTTAAACTCTGAGCTATTTACAAATAACTGAACATGCCTGTGTATTTCTTCACTGCTGTCTACTAGATCGTACTCCAGGAACAACAGCCTGTTACTGCTGCTACCAGTTATCCCTTTAGCTTGCACAGAGGAGGTCTGTTATGACTGTGGAGGCTAGGTCCTGCTGACTTCTCTGCCTATAAGGAAATACGTTGTTTTATTTATAAGGAGAACATACAACATAGTGAAAAATGAGATAAAAATTTAAAAGATGCAAATCAAGCATTCAAATTCAGGGAGCTGAATTATGTCTGCCCTGTCTTACCTGTAGGTATTATGACTGAAAGCTATTTTGATTCTTATCAAACTGAAATGGGAAACAGAATCATAAAAGAAAGAGGCAAAGGATTTCCATAGTGGTATTGCATTTTGAAAGCAGTGTAAATGAAGGGAGAGATTCAGTCTTCATTGTATCAAGGTGCACCAGAGCCTGGGGAAGCTGCTCTAACAGCTTAGATGGCAAAGTACATGTCATAGTTATGGGTCAGGGAAGTTTGTTCTTGCCTCTGCTGTAGGAAACAAATACCTGAAGTAGCAGAAAATTTGTTTCCTTCTGGGAGCTGGATACCCTGGCCTCCCCTGCCCCAGCATTTTGGGGCAGCGTTCTTTGTTTGAAGCTGCTTTGGTCTCTGGAAAAATATTGAAACATTTTTTGGAGCATGAGGTGGAACCAAGAGCTTCCATTTCCTAACTGAGTGCCCTGACTAGGATGTTATAAAAATCCTTCTTAAACTCTCCTTGTGGTTCAATGAAATTTTCTTTAAGGTATTTATATGAAGTGAAATAGCATCAGAACAGCTGGAATGTCATATACCTTGTGGTTAGAACAGTCTCCTCCGACAAGTCTTGGTAGAATTTATTTTTATTTCTACTGAAAATCAACTGTTAAAATCAATTTTTATTTTTGGTTACTCATGTTTACCGGCAGTTGTAATTTCTGCTCAGTTTTAGCAGCATCTTTTCTGTACGGTTCCTTCTGTGTCAGTTCCTCCTTGTTGGCCACTGGGCAGTTTCAGTGGGTTGGAGGGGCCAGAAAGATAGTATCAAGATCTACTGAGCCTGTCTGTGAAATGAATGAATGCTAATTGTAGCTAGAAATGGAAACTGAATAGGAAGCCTAACCTTAAACAATTTAATAGAAGGGAAGTACTATGCTTGTGTTCTAAACTTAGATCATGCTTTGCAGCTGAAAGTATTCTGGAAATTTGGGTTGATTTTGCAAGTTGTCCTGAAGTAACCAAAACTGAGTAAGTTACTGGCTCATAAAAATGGGTCTGTTCTTACAGTGCTGTCTCTAATTAGAGGATCACATGCTAAGTTTGCTACAAGATCCCTGCCTCATCTGGGACATGAGTGGGACATTAATCTCTAAAAAGCCCAAATTGTGTGAGGATGCTGTTTGTACTACTTCAGCAAGGTGTAAATGTGGCAGGAAATTGCAGGATAGAAATGGAAGGCTCTTACAATTAGAGAAACTGAGTTTGGTCCTAGATAATTGGATTTTATCCCTGGTCCTGCTACAGGGTTTCTGCGCAAGACTTGCAAAGTCATATCCAGCCTTTGTTTATTTCCTGAGTATCAAAGAGGAACATCTGGGGCCCTGTTTGCATTAGTTCAAAATAGCCACATAAGGACGTGAAAGTGAATGTATTGTTCTTTGAAGAGAGAGAATTGCTGAGCTCTGTGGAAAGATGTCACTCTTGTCTCAAGCTGGAACTCCAAATTTAGGAGACAGTCAACAGGTTTTGGCACTGATCTCTAGGTGCCTTATGTGATTACCACATGAGGGTGATACTGTTACTTTCTCTCCTGGGAGACCTTGTAAAATTGAATTTTTCAACATTTGTAGAACATTGAGATTCTATGAGGAGTATACCACAGGTATAGTCAGAAGGAATTCCCTATTTTAAGTGTTTGGGCTATTTAGGTGAGGTGTAACCAAAAAAAAAAAAAGACACTGAATAAAGAAGATAATAAGGAGTATTCCATAACTACTACAAGGAGATAGAAGTATGGCACATGGTTGTGCAATTAAGTCATGTGTCATTAGTATGTACAAGGAAGACAACTGCATAGACAGCATTGATTCAAGCCTTTTCCCCCTCTCAGATGTTTCATTTTGCAGTCTTATCTGCCCTATAGGTAGATAATTTGAATTTAGAAGCAACAGTAAGATTTTTTTTTTTTGAGAGTCAACATCTGCAGAGGGGAGGATAACTTCCTCAAATTGTCTATTACTGACTGGCCCTCAAATACAATTACTGCAGCGAGAAGGCTTCAGAGAAGTCCAGAAGAGTGAATTTCCCAGCTCCTGCATCTCAAGAAAGCTGGGAGTTGCTGAAAAGCAGGCTTTCAGCAGAGTACCGTCAGTCACCTTTCTTTAAAAGTAAGGCCATTTGGTCTCTCTCTAATCAGGAGTGACTGGAATTCCTTCTGCAACCAGCAGCGACCTGACGCTCAGACAGGAAGTCAAGTGGGTGTCTGGTCCAAACTTAGCTCAGGGAACGAGGCATCCCGATGCCTGGCCAGTTACCAACTGCTTTCTGCTGACAGAAATGTAAGACTGTAATGACTCCCCGTATTTTTCTACTTTGTCTTTAGTCTCAGTATGTTTCAGTTCATTACATAACAAAAATTTCTTTGCATGTTGAGGAAGTGAAAAAAAATCTTCTTTTGATTAAGTGCTCACTAATAGTGTCATTGTTGCTAAAAACAGAGCTAAAACAGTCCTCTGTTGTTATTAGCAAATATGAGTCACAAGGGAAAATGTTAAAGGCACAACAGTTTTATAGCCCTATGGAGACAGACCAACATTAGTATGTGATATGCAAATAAACTTCTATCTTTCAGCAGTATCTTTTATGTTATATATATTTTACATCTTCTGAAAGTAGATGCTTTTGTTGGTCTTAATGTCAGAAACTTGTCTCTATTGGTCACAGAACATCAAGTAATAGAAGGTCTTGTTATATAGCTGTGATACTGAGAAGAACTTTAGAGTTCTGTAACATTTTCTTCAGATGATCTCAAAGCCCTTTACAAATTATTATGTTTCATGATATCCTGGTAATATAATTTGTTTCCTTTTTATTTACTTGAAGTTTCCTGAGGCCTGTAGAGAGAAATGACTGTTCTCCTAAACAGGCACTCTGAAATTTTCACCTACGTAAAACCCACAGCTGAAATATAATCAGTGTGTCCCCCACAGGACTGTTGCCATGCTCCAGTGGGAGGGTTTTTTGCAGGTGCCTGTCAGCAGAGGTGATGTTACACAGGCTCTGCTCTGCTCTCTTGTTTCCCAGTACTGATTTATTCCCTGGCATGCTGCAGGAAGCTGTTTTGAAGCATATCTGAAAATTATGTGAGGTCACAGACAAGTAGTTTGTCCCTCCAGTAATGATTACATTTGGTGTTATTGACAGTCACACCAAAGACTCATGCAGACAACATAAAGCACTTCTTTTATCCTTCCAGTTAGATAAGTCATTCCTGCAGAATCTCTTGTTATTTAGAAAAAATCAGCTTACAATACTGTGCTTGTTCAGAATGTAGTAAACAATAAATAACTGCAATTCCTGTGCACATATTTTTCTTTATGCTTCTCTCCGTGCTGCCCTTCCCACCATTATCCCCACTAACTCTTCAACACTATAATGCCCAGAGAAGCCTGGAAAAGCAAAGGCAAGTTTCTTTGCAACACCACTGTTTTTCCTCCTCTGGCATGGAGTGTCACTGTTGCCAAAGGGAGCTTTCCACTACAGTGGTGTCTTTTCACCTGCTGCTGCAGGCATCACATGTAGCCATGACTACAGGAATGGTCTCAAGAGTAAGACATGGCAACTCAGCTTAGACACTGACAAGCCTGGTTATAGGTGCAGAGGAACACATGGTAGTTTCCCTCCTGAGGAGCTCTGAATCAGGGGGATGAGGGTAAGTTCCATCATATCAACACTTGAAGCCAAACCGGTTACCTCAGCCTTTACAGCCCTGTGTGGAGGGGCAAGCTTGTCTTCATGTCCCACTTGTGCCTCCTCCAAGTGCCACTCTGTCCTGGGGGGTGGTAGAACAGATGCTGTTTACCAATGACTGCTTATGCTGGATTAACAAAGAACACAGGAAGCTCCTTATTCCTTTGCCAAGGTGGCCGTGGGGGCCGGAGTCATGAAGGATGAATAGAAGGCATGTAAGTGATGGGGTGTGCATGGCAGAGGGCTGCTCAGGGATGGCTGGGGACCGTCAGTGTGATTGCATCAGTGCAGCACTTCCCAGCTCCACCAGCATCCCACCAGCTGTGAGTACGTCTGCTGGTAGTGAGGACGCAAGCAGGGGTTGTGTAGAACAAGGCATTTGGTGCTGAGGAGGTGGTGTCTACATTATACATGTTTCTGGGATTTTTGTTACCGCAGGCTGCCACCCATCTCATTCCTTGGAGTGAAGAGCCACTGATGCTGACCCTGCTCTGAACAGAAACACAGAGGTATACCCACATGAATGTGGCCATGCTGCCTCTAGACTAGCCCTCATATGTGTAACCTAAGTGTTCCAAAAAGGTTTATCCATGGCCAGGCCCTCCTTTCCTTCAGATCCCTTCTGTTAATAAAGCAGCTAATAGTTCCCCATCTCTCAGTGGTAGGCAAGCAGTTGATTGTACAGCACTTAGAGAGTTCAGAAGCGCTGTGGAATATGTCCTAAATATAATTAGTATTTTACAGCTAAGTGTATTACTTTTTTTTAATTTATTAATGATGTTAATCAATATTAACCTGCTGTCCACTAGGGTATTATTATAACATTAGAGTGCACAACTGATTGCCTCTGTCAGTACTTAAAATGTGATTATGCTGAGGCTAAGAAAATTAGAGAGTACAGTAAATAGACCCTATGTTTGTTTCTTCTAAAACGAAGAGGTATCAATGGGCCTGTTCATTATTTTGGGTTATAATTTGCTACTGATACTTAAGAAAAATTACGTATTGGAATTTCAGCCCCATTAACTTATGTGTCTATGAATACAAGCTTGTGTGCATTTGTATGATAATAACATTTGTAATACTGTCAAATAATATTGCATATTTAAAAAAAAACAAACAAACATTGTCTCAAAGGAATTATTAACTATACAGTACAGCACATCTTTTTGGTTTCCAGTCTTGTTTTTCCCCTGATAATTATGTTGAATAATACGTGATTTTTCATTACAAACTGTCCACTAGGGATTATAAAATACACCACATATCTCAGTTAAAGTGGCCATCGTAACCTTAACTATTACATTCCCATTTGCATTTTACTTCTTTAAATTGAGCAACACTTAACATTACATTACAGTGTATTTGTGTGGATCTTAATCTTGATCTCTTAAGTATTCGGGCTTAATGACTCAATTCTTTATTATCTTATTGATAAATAACATGTCTATGGGTAGGTCAGTTGAACAATGCCCTCGTGATTAAAAGCAATAAAGATTACATTTAAGAAGTTGGCATCAAAAGTATGAACTTCTGTGTATCTGGATTCATGTAGTCCAATACTGATTAATCTTTCAGCTATATTCCATTATATATATGCATAATTTGATATAGAAGGGGGTGTGTATATGGTAATAGTATGTATATGAGTCAGAATACTGATTAAGAGGCAGTCTTTGCATCTGGTTATTGACAATCCAGTTAAACTAGTTATTGCTAAGTTACATACTAGTTTTATAAGTTTAAAGGAGACTACGTTTAAAGGAAAAATATTTAAATGGTAAAATTACACAATCACAAATTATGATCAAAGCTTGTTAGTTTAAAACTTGATCTGATGTTTGCTGTCTGCCATTTCTTTACTTTCTGTCCTGTGGATAGGTCATTTAGGAAAAAGAGCTAAAAGCTATAATGAAAAAATCTCAAAGCTATTACTTTTTTATGCTTTCAAGTGCTTGAATTTCACAACTAAACTGTCTCTTTAAACAGAAATTATTATAATTCTGTTTCTAAGATTCAAAAGATGAGAAGCCCAATTAAAAAAAGACTTCTGGTTTATGCGGTGGCAACACATCCTCTCCTTATTCATTATCACAAGGTTTGGGCTCTGTGTTTCCAGAATTGCAACACGGAGCAATTTTAGCCCTGGCCAGAGCCTGCTGGCGCCCCGGGGGAGATTAGAGACATACAGGGCCAGGCTCTGCCTGCCTGGGCTCAGGTCCCCATGCCTTCTCTTCTGCTGCTGCCCCAGCACCGCCCAAGCTGTCTCCTAACAGGGGCTGTTGGCTGTTGTCGATGCTTTCCTCCTGATAGGAATCTAGTCAACATGAAATCATCATGATGATGGTTTAAATGAGACTGGAAATGATTGAAGCAGGGCTGCATTTTACATCCATGGCTAGTCCTCAGAGGGAGAAAAACTTGTCAGGGTCAAGTTTGATTGCTTGATGGGACTATGCGAGATCTAGCTCTCGAGAATTTAGAAATTCACATCTGTGACTTGCTTTGGTTAGTAGAGATACTCAGTGTCATTGTGGTCTGGTGATGTTGTATGAAAGTTTAAAACATTTTTTTTTCCTAAAACTTTATTTACAGTGTGCAGTTGTATGTTGATTTGGTGACTGCCTAGGTAGTTTCTGAATCCTAGGCCGGGTTGTGAAACTAACATAGAATATATGTGTATATTGGCCCCATGTCAGCAGATATATAGAGATATATAGATATATGCAAGTCTGCATGTCAGCAGCTGCTTGATGTTAGGTTTGTCATAAATCTCTAGGTGAGATTCAAAGAAAACTGTTCTAACCAAGAATCTGCTCAGATGGTTTGAAACAACTAAGTTCACAGGACCTCTTTGGAAGCAAGTCCTAGCCTTTGCACATACAACATTAAAAAAATAGTGAGTGTAAACTCCCTTGAGTTTATTTAAAATATGGAAGTTTTGTCATAATTACGGGGAGACACATCTTGGTCGGCTGTTTTGACTCAGCCAATAAACAGTAACAAAATAGTCTACAGGGAGAGGTTTAGAATAAAACTCCTGGGAAATTTTGTTTTGGAAACACTGACACATGTGGTTCCTAAAACACTGTATGCTCCCTGGAACTGGGGTTCTACTGACTGAAGACTGGCATCCTTCTCAGTTTTATCACAGACAAAGAATAACCATTTCTATCTGCACTTAAGGGGTCTCTGACACCATAACCACATTTCCACGTGCCTTTCTGTGGACCAGACATCCCAGAACTAACCAAACTGGACCTGACATCCTTCATGAAGTTTGGTCTGCACTGGCAGGGAAATTTCAGGGATAGGACTCCGGGAATCTTTTCTGTGTCCTCAAAGGCACAGCATGTTCAAGAGATTATTCTGGGTCATTTTGCCTGGCCTGATCCTGCCCTGCGCCACCCTACATGCCCAGTCATCTGGGAGCCAAGTGGTTCTGTATGGGAATCTTGCCAGCTTTGGAGATTTTACTATCTCTAATACAATGCTAAGTTCCATCTCAGACATTTGATATCTATCAACCTCAGTGGCACTGCCCTCATTAACACCATGGATGGATTTGGCCAAATACCTGAGAGTCTGGTGCACATTACATGACAATTCTGATAACATTATAGCTACATATTACCTGAAAGGGTTATTACATGTGATAGTGCCCTCAGAGTACTCTGAGAAACTACAAAATTATTACTTGAGGATTCAGGTTCCCCTGTCATCAATGTGTCTGTGTTGTTTCATACATGAAATAACACATTAAGATGTTAGTGGATATGACAATCTATCCTACTTTCCTCTGGGGACTGGATAATGGCTTATGGATATATTAATCCTTTTGATTTTGGCATATATTGTAATGTGATGGATGTGTGGCATACAACAAAGTTTTTTGCTTGCTGAGATGTTGCAAATAAAAAGAGAAATAAATCCACATAAGATGTGTCCATTTTGAGAGTTCATCTGCAGCCTGGGCATGTTTTCTGTTCTCTGGGCAAAGGTAGGTTTGGGTATTAGGGTGCATGACACTACTGGGGTTTTGGTTGGGGTTTTTCTTAATTGCAGAGATGCTTAAACTTCTGACAGATAAGGAAAGGGACAGATGGGAATGCACTAATTCTGCGACTCCCATCACATAACAACATTATCTTGTAGATAGACTAACACTGTATCCATGATGGCATGCAAATTACTTGACAGATGTGTTATTCAGGAATGGTGCTTCATCTCAATGCTCCTCCCATTGCCAAAAGCTAATATGCTATTTTTAACTACAAAATTGGGTTAAACTTCTGCTGTTCTTATATCATGCAGAGACCTCCCAAACCTTTTTTTAATCCAATCTACTCCATGCTACTTTTGTTGTCACTTTGGTCTTTTTGTTATATGAGCCTGACATGTTGAATTTCTCTGTTCACTGAAATACTGTGTAACAGGAAGCAAGTAAGGAACCAAGTAAAGTTCTTCATATTAACCTATCCTACATGCCTTCCAGGCTGATTTTGATGATAAGCCTGACTCCTTGTTCTTCAACGATGGACAGCGAAGAATTGACTTTGTTTTGGTGTATGAAGATGAAAGCAAAAAAATTACTCATAGGAGAAGTGATCATAAAAAGCAAAAGGTAAGTTATTATCAGTATAAATCTGAATCATTTGTTGGGTGTTAGGAGCAGTTGACAGAAAGGACAGTGCCCTTACCCAGAATGGCAATTGCATTGTCCTGTCCTAGGAGTACTCTTGGGACCTGGGAGACTAAAACCCATCAAGCTGAACAGGGAACAGGAGTGAGCTCAAACCAGCAGAGTGCTGTGTAAATGGGCAGAGCACTGCACATCGTGTCTGTCAGTGTGTGCTGGATGACCTCAGAGCATCCTCCTAGGAGGGAACCCTTCAGGAGATATGAGCAGAAAAATGCTCATATCAGGTTCCCAGTTAGAATTAGACACCATGATATTCAGACTAGGGCCATTTTCTGTACCTGCAGTGATTGAATTAGACCCCTAGTGGACTTTGGTATTAAAATCAGGGTATTCAGAGGAACCTATTGAAGGAGGCAGCTAACCAGGTTCTCCAGATCACAGTTATGAACATAGTTGCCAACATTCTACCAAATAAAGTACGGAAGTTGTTTATGGGAAATAATTGTACGTCACTTTGCCACCAGAATTTCTCTCTGTACTACTCCTTCCCTTGACACTTCAACAGCTTGACCCTCCCTAGAGACCTTGCAAAAAATTTCAGACTCAAGCCATTGACTGCTTGGTGCTCCTTAGCAGCTATGAATGACAATCATAGATTATTTTTAAATATTATTTGTTAATTATTTCAGTAGTTCTATCAGTGGACTACATTAATTATGGCACCCAGGGCCACAAAAACAAAGCCATGTCACTGAGCTATTTTAACTGTGAACTGCCTGAGAAATGTCCATCCACAGGATTATAGCCCCCTTGACGTCTTCCCTCTCCCATCCACCTGCTTGCTGCTCTGACTTCACAACTCTTCATGTTCCAGCAGCAGCCTCTGGTAGAGGCAGGCAAGGCCAAAGCTATCACTGAAAGCAGCTCATATACAAATAATGATTTGCAGTTAGGAAGGAGAAGAGTAGGAGTAAAAAGACCTGTAGCTGAATTGTTTGATAGTCATTACACAGTGTTGTCATTGGCATTAATAGGGGTGATCACAGGATCAGTGATAAAAATTAATTGAAAGAGGTAATTAGAAACAAAAAGCTGCCCCTTTGGAAACAATTGTTTTTACCAATTAGCATTTTACATTTATGTTTGTAATATTTGGTCATTGTCCAAATGTACTTAAAAATATGAGTGTCTTTTCCAAACAGTGATGGAAATTAAATGTGAGAAATGGAGTAGTATTTTTAGTGCAGCATTAATGTTAGGACATTAGCCAGAATGAAACCATGAATAATTAGACCAGGAGACTGTGGGTAATGTGCTAGATGCTTGCAGAAGAAGTTTACCTTCAAAGATCTCAGTCTTACAAAGACCTGCAGCCACACTGAATCTGTGGTGTGCTGAGGAAGAGGAAGCAGGCTACCTACGTGCAACAGATGTAAGAATGAGACAAATGATCAGATAAGGTTGAAGACTGAGTGTCTGGGAGGCAGCTCTGTGGAAGAGGCCCTCATGGTCTTTGTGGACAGCAAGCGGAACAAGAGCCAGCTTGTGACCTGGCAGCAAAGTGGCCAACAAAGGCTGTATGGGGACAGAAGCATGGCCAGGAGATTGAGGCACGCAACTGGGGTGATATGGATGTTTCAGAAGGAAACTCAAAACAGTGATGATTGATAGCAATTTTCAGAGCCAGGATCTCCATGGACAGGGAGAATCTGAAGCTGTAGAGGCACTGTGGAAGGCATAGACAAGAATTTTGATACTGGGAACACATAAGGTGCTGAAAGGGAAGTAGAAAGCTTAGGAAGAGACAAAGATGAGGAAGTGGCAGTTACAGAGGAATTCCAAGGACAAGAACAAAGGATACAAGTGGGATGACACTGAGCTGGAGAACTAATGAAAAAATCCACAAATCAGACAAAGCGTTACACATCGGGTAAAATATCAGAGGGGACTGAAATGTTGAGGAAGGAGAAGAGGGCATGAGGAGAGGATTTTCTTCAATGAGTCTGTCACATAAGCTGAAATGAGTCACAAGGTCATAACCAAATTCCTGGGATGCAACTCAGAAGTACTTGCTCCCTCTCTCTAATGACTCACATACGGATGTCATTGGTTTAGAAACATGTTTCGTGCATCTACTGTTGGAGGAACAGCCTTTTTAAATGTGAATAGATGTAAGCTTTCTAACTTTTTAAGGTGGGATAGGTGCAGGTCACCTCCAAGCACACCAACACTTTAGTCATCTCAAAGACAGAGAGGTTCTTTGTCTCACTTGAGTTCACTTGCTAATGCAAGTGGAGGAAGCTGTATGTGCAGCAAATCTTTATTCCCCAAGCAAATACTGTGCAGGAATTGGCAGCATTGGTAACATTTTTCCTCCTGTACCACCTCCCATGCGGGATGTGGGATGCTGCCTCGGGACCTACCTCAAAGTCATACTAGGAGTAAAAGGAGAGAAACTGAGAAATAACATATAAATATGAATAGAATATTTGAAAATAAGAAACAAAGCACATATAACTTACATCTCAGATGGAAATGAAGATGACATTTATGGTACAGTTTTGCATCCTTGGATTTCCAGGGAGATAATTCTATTTTAGCCTGCCACAGTTCCCAGAATGGTGTGGGGATGTTGCTGCACAAGATTCATACAGGTTTCATCAGTGCTGGCGTAAAACCTACTTGATAGCTTGTCTTTACCGACACCATTGTTTATTTGGTTGTTTTTTTTTTTCTGGGACAAATAACTTCTACCCTTGTGATGAAATACAACAAAAATGAGTATTGCCATTTACTATCAACTTTAAATACTGCATACATTACTGCCTGTCTCTGATCAATGATCAACTGAAAATGCCAAATTTTATAAGCAGTATCTTGTGTAATTCAAGGTGCTTTAAGCCTGAATAGGTTCTCTGCTCATGGTACTCTTTCTTTGACTCCCCTGACAGTTTTATAGTGCTATTATCCAGAGCTTTATTGTTCACAGAATTTGGAAACTCCAGCTTATTCAAGAATAGCAGCTGCAGATAAGTCTGTTCTTGTAGGGTGAAATCCTCACCTCTCCGAGGTCAGCAGCAAGGTCTCCAGTGGCCATGTACCATGTTACAGGTCTGTGAAATGTAGGAACCAGGAGTGTAGCCACTGGGACAAATTCTGTCTGATGTGCACAGCATCCCACCTGATTGCATAATGTGGAAGTTGGGGTAAAATTTAAATTATTAGTGGACATCTATAGATCTACATTTCTGAAGTGAAAAGCTTTGGGTGCTGCTGGGTGGTTTTGTATGATACTGAGGGTAGAGGAATCCCCAAATGCTTATGGAATTTAGTCAAAAGGATTTGAAAATCAGACCTCAACCTAGGTATCCAATTTACTGGATTCAGAGAAATGGGGCACACATCCATCTATTCTGCTGCAGCAAAAGAGGAATCGGGTCCTGGGACCATCGTTATATTTTATTTTAATGGCTTTCTGTCCTTTTTCAAAAGACCTGCATGACTGTAACTGAGAAAATGACCCAGCATTCACTTATATTAATTACCATTTTTCTTGGGAAAACATCTCAGAGGACAGAAGGAAATAACTTAACTAAAAACATGAGGGTGATTTGAATAGAAGGAACAAAAATATGGGATTCTGGAGCTCTTGAAGATGTGCAGTGGTGCTGTGCTTCCCTCATTTTCATGTGTTTCTGAAATCTGGTTTAAAGGAGGCAAAGTCAAATTAATGAAATGACATCCTCATGAAGTTTCTAACATAATTTACAGATCCAAAAGTTAGCACATAACGTTTATATAGGCAACTCAGTTTGAACTCCAGACCTTTATAAGTTGGCATACAATTAATTTTGCAAGCACTAGCAAAAATAAAACTGTCAGGAGCAGATTCCAGGAACTGTACCTTGCAAGCAATTGAAATTCCTGCCCAAAGCATGCTTTTTTAAACATACAATTTATGTACACTATTTGTCAGGATATGTTACCATCAGAATAGAAATTAAATATCACCAGTCTTTCCAGGAATGCTCAAAAATGCCAGTTTTATCTGTTGGGGTCCTCAAGGAGCTCATTGTTGAAAGTTAAAGGGTCAGTGCCAGAAAGGTGAATTCAAAATAAATTGATGCAGAATGTCATTCTAGTCCATCTGCTTCTCCCCAACAGAAATAAACAGAAAGACTGTCAGTAATTTAAATAGGAATGTGGGCAAAACCTTCATTTCCATCCATTAAGTAATCTGTCCTTCACAGAAATGGACAGATTTTTTTTTTTTTTTTTCAAATTAAGTGAAAACTATAATTCACAGACAATATTACATACATCTTTTTTTTTTTAAGTACGGTCTCACAGAGAACTTCATCAGGTCTGGATAATTTTGTCTTCATAAGCAAACAATGAACAGTTCCTGCCTCTAGACTTGTTTACTTTAGATAAAATAAAATAAATTTTAAAAAGCTTGGATAACTTTTCAAGATCTAATTGTACTTCTCCTGTTGTTTAGCATGTGTCATACCTGCAGTGAGAGAACAATACTTGGATTTACAGAAAGAAGGGTACCTCAGTCCCATTTTATGCAGTGATTTGTGGCAGTAGAGGATTGCAGGCTCTACATGCCTACGGCGTGCTCAGCTGACCTGCCCAAGAGGTCTGTAACAGGGATGAAAGGGACCTTTGACAGTGGGAGGAGGGTGACCACACCTGCCCTGGTCTATGCTGGATGCATTGGTTTTGAAGCAGGAGCTCACTGAAATCTCTGTTCCTGAGGCAACCCCAAACCCAAATTTTACTTCACTGCCTAATGGATGGAAGGATGACAGAAGGATGGGAAGACGAATGGAAGGAGGGAGTTATTCTGAAGTTACTGCATATATTCAAAGGACCAGAAACAGGTGTTTCCAAACAGGGTGACTAGACACCACTGTTGAGAGCAGGGCTAGATTGCAGAATTGCCAGTCCCATGTGGTCATGAATCAGGTTTCAGAAAATCACAAGGCTGGCTTAAAATCAGAGGCTATCTCAGAAAATATGTACTTGGAGTTCTTTGGGTTTACTTTTTTTGTGTTGGCCTTTATAACATATTCTGCTTCACATTTTTATAAGTATCTTCAAACATAAGGAAAAGAAGCTTACAGAAGCAGAGCTTCTCAATCAATTTCCTGATGCTGACAGCTGGGACTTTCAGGAAAGCTTCCAAATGCCATCATAGAAACTGAGAGTTGGCAGCTAATATTGATAGTGTGATCCTCTCCACTCCCTTTAGCTGATTTCCGTGGGGGAGGCTTTGGGCCCCATGTTCTCTCTCTTATTGACTGTGATTTATCTGTTGCTGTCGCATAAGGCAGAGGTGGCTATTCAAGCACTCCTTCCTTGTTAGGATTTTTCCCCTGAAGCCACATGGATATTGCTGTGGGGAACTTTTCTCTTTGCACAAAAGAAATTGTGAAATGATATGAGTTGTCATTTTTCTGTCACTGTAATCAAAGCACGTGCTTCCTACCATTTACAAAACACTAAGAGAAAAACTGCTAGTGGTCTGCTACCAATTTCCAGACCAACAATCTTGCTAGTCTCTCAGCTTGGCAAAACAATCACCCGACACTGAAAGCATTATGGTGAAAAAGCAGCTCCCAAGAGCTAACCCTTCTACATGCCTGTAATACTTGGCATTTACTTATACTGTGCTTTCACTTTCTTAAGATTGTATATAACTATGCATCCCACAGTCTCTTAGTCTATTGGTTAGCCATTCAATCTTCAAAATCTATGTCAGCATGTTAAAACAGCAGCATTACCATGATTGCATTATTATTAAAACTTAAGCTTGCAGGTAGCTGAGCAACATGACAGATACTAAAATAAACTTTGGATAGTGTCCACCTTCCAGCCTTATAAGCTATCATATATTTATACTGTATTCCCTAATCAATGCAAAACTACTGTAGACTCCTCTAGGTAGAAGTCTAGCTCCTCCATAGATCATCGTATCCATAATTCAATCATTTATATAAAATAGCAAAGCCCCTAATTAGCAAAGCCTCCCGGGGCCTTTGTTTCTCACTACTTGCATTAATGCATTATTAGAAACTTTAATATTGTCAACATTACTCTAAGATTTTGAGGGCAAAATTAATTTGGGGAACTCCTTGCCATAATAAATTATTAAAGCAATCTGAAGAAAAAAAAAATTAGACTTCCACAAATGAGAATTGCCCTACATCCATCTTTGTGCTATTTAGGAACAAATTAAACAAGTATTTATCCCTCTGCCTTTTCTATTTGCTGAAACAAACCAAAACTCAGGTTGAAATATTTTCATGATTCAGTATTCACCTTACAAAGAACCACATGAATATGGAAGAAGCAAAGAGGTAGGATGAAATGGAAGAGGAGTTAATAGTGGAGTAACAAACTCCTGTGTTGTGTAATACATATATTAATGATCTGGTAAGGGGATTGAATTATGATATAACAAAAATTGCAGAGGAAATCATTATGTAGTTTACTCAGAAGCCAAGATGACTGTGAATCTTTAGCTTTGAAGGAGAATGGAGAGCACTATTACCTTTGAAATGCTGAAAATGCAAGGAAATACATTACTGCAAGGAAAAAACTCATTCACATTTGGGATTCTAAGTTAGCACTGTTAATACAAGGAAGAAAATTAGATGTCATAGAAAACAGCTATATTAACTGTTGTCTTCAGGTTCAGCTACCATCAAAATTCTAGATAATGGAAAGTATTAGATATATACAATATGTTATAAATGTGCATAGTACATATATATATATACACAATGTTATATACACAATTAAAAATATAAAGAACATTCTACTGTCACCAATAAGCAAGTGGATTAATGGGACATGGAGAGATACCTCCATGAAGAGTGCTATCAAAGTTCGGGATCGTGGTTTTATCCTGAGAAAAGAGAGGAATAAGGAAAAATGTAGTAAGTATTGATGAAGGAAGACAACAAATTGAAAGATCTGACTTTTCCTGTCCCTAACCTGAGAAGAAGGTGATATTCACTGGAATAAAAGGCAGAAAACCCAAAACAGATAAAATAAATACCTTTTAACAAATTATGAAATTAGTCCATCGTGACTGTTGTCACACGCAGGTGCTGCAGCTGAGAACTAACAAAGTGCAAATGGGGTAGGCTATTAATTCCAAGACTTGCTAGAGTTTGGGTAAAATATTTTTTTTTCTGCTTTGGGGACTTACAACAGTCTTTAAATATTAAAGAACTGAATTAAACTTATGTGGAGATACAACTGGCCTGTTCCTGTGGAAATGCTGAAGATTTTTGCCTTTTTTGCTGAAGCATCTGGTTTTTGCCCCCTAGACTAAGAGGTCTTGGGTCTAGTCCTGAAGACCACTTTCCATGTACCTATCAAAGCTCCCAAGATTTTATCTAAAAGGTCATTCATTGACTCTGGTCCTTCACAGTAGCAACAGGCCTGGATCTTAAGCATAGGTCTTAAGGCAGTTAGTCTGGCTATAGAGAACCAAGCCACAAAAAACATTGGGCCATTCTTCTTTTAAGTTCCTATAGTGGTAGGTGCAGAATCCTTAGAATACAGGGCATATAAACAACCAAAAACTGGTCAGTGACTTGAAAGCAATCTGGAAGTAAGAAAGAAGTTATCACCAAGTCACTCTGAAAACCTCGGTACATGCCTAGCCTAGCCTGGTTCAGGAATAAAGCCATCAGTCCCCAGTGCATTAATGTCATGTCTTTCTGACAAACTGCTCACAGAAGCCTCCCCCCATCCCCAGCTGCCTACAGCTGCCCCCCTTACCCGTGCTGATATTTTGACATGCAGTCTGTAGGCCAGGTAGAGCTGGCTACCCTTGACTTACATTTAAAAATAGCTCATTGGGAAATAGCCAGTTGATGCTGATAGCTTTTACATTTTATTTTTTCACATGGAGTTTCAAAATTTCTTACAAATCCCTTATGGAGTTGTATATTTTGTTTATATAGTTGTATATTTTGTTTTCTGAGAGGAGAGGGTCTTCTTGTCTCTGGGTGTTTGGCAGTGGGGAGAAGTGTTTGTGTGTGGAGAAGCAAATTCAAGAAATTCAAGATTGCAAAGACATTCCAGATTTTTTGTAACTCACCACCTGCCAAGTGTTGGTAACTATGAAGTGAAATGAAAATGAACCATGAATTTAATCTTTGCCATGAAAAACTTGTGTCCTTCTGGGGACACTGAAAGCTCCTAGAATAACACCACTGACTCTACAAGTGCTACAGCTCTCAGCTTCTTCCTTTGGGGATGCTCAGCCATGGACTGAAATGTAGAGGGCTGTTTGAACAACTGTGTGAACTCATATGGTTCTTGTGAAAGAAGAATTAAGTTACAGGTTACTGGTAGGGAAGTGGAATGGAAGCCCTTGTCATGCAGACTTTTTAAAGAGCAGATCAATGCGGGGAGGGAGGCTGCCATCAGTAGTTCGATTAGTGTCTGAATGTGAAGGGGATTACAAGTTTCAGGGGTAATTGCTCTCAAAATTCAAAATTTGGGGCACATTTTTACCTCTGTAATGTACCAGCAACTGAGAGGGTGAATTCTCCACAATTGCATTTGAGGCTAATATTGCACGTAAGACCAAAAATCCTGAGCAGGATTAGTAGGTAAGACTGACCTATCACCACAGTGGCTTCAAGTGGGCTATAGAGATAACCACCCAGTGATTCTTCATTTTGGGTGGCAATTCCATTCTTTTATGCATACGTATTTTTGAATTTTTGAAACAGATGTCTTACAGTGTTCAATACTTTTTAACAGAGAAAGAGACAAGTATATGAATCAAACCTGATAAACAATGGCTTGCAACTTGAAGCAACAAGATCGGTGAGTGCTTTTCGCTGTGTGAATGGCTGTGTCTGAGAGCAAAGCTGTCCCTATGAGAACAAGGAAACTGGATATATTAATTTACTATAACATTTCTCTCAGGAGAAAAAGATCCACCTTTTTTTTCTGTCAGAAGTGTCTCTGTGATCTGATGTGAATTCTTTTAAGCTTTGTGTACGTTCCTTCCTCTGCAAAATGAAAGATGGGAAGCTAAGAGATACATAGGTCGTGTTTGCTCAGCACTCGGAAGATTAAAATTACTCATTATACTCTGAGGAGAGGTTCTCCTCCTCTGGCTGTGTAGGATGTATGGGAAGCCAGTGGGTGTCCAGGGCAGAACGCCTCTGCCAGAAGAGCAGCACAGGGCTCCTGCATGTCACCCTGCTTCTCACAAGGCCTGTTGTGGTGCAAGTGGTTATATCTATCAAACTTTGTGTATCTTTGGGCTGCAGTGTCTCCTGCGGGCAGTTCAAGAACACTGTGATAATGCATACCAGCTGCTGGAGGTGCTCTCTTTTGCATGGAGGGTTAGAGCCCCTCAGAGCCCCTTTTCTCCTTGCCCTACAGGGCTGCAGCACTCCATCTGGGTCTCGCTATCCAGGACAACACTTTCAGTCTAAATTTGTTGTTGTTTGGTAATCCACAGTGAGCTCCAGAAAAGGTTGCTTTGCCCCTACCTCCCAAATTAGTCACAGAATCCATGACATCACAGTATTTATTTGATTTCTGCTGAGAGGATTCCTGCTGTATGTCCAAGGATATAGTCTGGCTTTTCACATTCCACTTGCTGGAAGTCTGACATGGCCCTCTTGCTATACTTACATGTTGCAGTTTTCAGTAGTTCTGCCATGATCATGACTGAAAAACTTTTGAAACTGGAACTCTCCCTGGGCTAGACCAGATATCTGACCAATGTTCCTGAGCCAGTGAGCTGCATAATGTAATTTTATGTGTATGAGGCTCATTAATGAAGGGCATCAATAGAAGGTCTTCAGGCGATGTGTAGACAGGAGACAAGAGTGGCTGTCATTGTACCCACTGCATACTGGTGCTGATTTGGGCATGCAACTGGGAGCAAGTGTGCCCCATGCTGTCTTTCTCAGCAGTCTCAGCTGATTTCCCTTTCTCTCTCCCTATTCTCCCTATGAAGCTGGGAATTCATGTTGCCCAGGAGCACCCATGGCTGTCTAGCCTGCTTCCATCGAGTCACGTCACCCTGAGATTGTACTTGAGCTGCTGGGGTGTCATTGACAGCTCCAAAGCCACAGCTGCCCTGCCGGGATGCATGTACAAACACTTCTAATGAACCCGTATGGGGAAGCGTTGTTAAACTTAAATTGCTTTCTAAAATACTTTGCAGAGATGTAAACATTAAGCATTAAGAGAACATTTGGCTGTCTTTTTTTATATGCCTTTATATGCCTGAGTGTTTCCACCTCATGTCAGTGCTTTTACAGAAGCTAATAATATTTTACTAAGATGGACAATGAACACGACTTTTAGTACGTCATTTAGGAGCTGTAAAGAGAAAGAAAATTCTGGATAGTTTAAAAAGTGTTATGAAAAGTTCTTTGCTTTCATTTTCTTACACACATATTTTTAATATTCTTTCATTTCAGGTTTTGGATGAAAAACTTATTTTTGTGAAAGTGCATGCACCTTGGGAAGTGCTGTGCACATACGCTGAGGTTATGCACATCAAATTGCCTCTGCAACCCAATGACCTGAAAACCCGAGACTCAGCTTTCAACTGGTTTAGCAAATTCTTCAGAGTGAATGAAAATATCATCAAACCTGAGCAAGAGTTTTTCACTGCCCCTTTTCAAATGGAACATTTGTCCAACTTTTATATACAAGACAAAGTCACATTTTTCAATCCTGCAACTAGAAGCCGAATTGTAAGTCTGTGGAGTTTTTCTAGCATTTAATCTTAAAAAGAAAAGATTCCTTTAATCAAATCAGTGCAATTAACTTCATGAAAGCATCCTGAAAAATAAGAAGTTTTGGGGATGCAATAATCCTGTGTCATTTATGAAACAACCTGGACAATCCAGAAGGAAAACATTCCCTGCATTTGTCCCATTTCTGTTCCACCTGAATTTAAAGGAGGGATTTGAATGGTTCCTATACCCTGTGCAATTAATTTTGTCTGCACTGTTTACCCTTTTCTAACTCTTTTATATGCTAAGGCAGGTATAGCTGTGTATGATTACTTTCAGGTTGCAAGAGACACAAAAATATTTTATAAATTTCAGGTTCATTTTATCCTGTCCCGCGTGGAATACGCAACCAAAAACAATGTGAAGAAGTTTGGCATTAACAAATTACTGGACACTGGAATCTACAAAGCAGCATTTCCCCTGCATGATGTAAGTCCAGTGTTTGTAACTAAAATGTATTTCTAAATAGAGGTCTCAACTACATCTGTGGGGTTTATATCAGAAGATACAAGCTCTGTTTATTGCCTTTACTTCTCAGCTGGTTATTATATCCACACAGTAGAATAGGACATAATTTGGCTAAAGATATTTTCTTCCAAAGTAGTGTTGGTTAAAATTGTAGGTCCATAACTGAAAAACAATATATTTCATTTAGGAGGTATTAAACTTGGATTCTCTGGGAGATGTAGTTCAGTAAAGTGCCTGGCCTGAGTGATAGTTCCCATGACACACTGTATCATCAGTTCTAAATCAATTTTAATATTGTCCCTTTTTTTAGTATTCAATTTTTAAGTATTAAAATTCCTATCAAATACCATCATTGTTAATAAAGATGTAGACTACAAATCTCATTTTAGGATGCATGGCAGTCTCACACAGTGAGAAACATTCCCACAGTTCCCAAACTTTGTGACATACATGCAGGGAAACTTGGGTTTCTGCAGGAAGGCTCTGTCCAGCCAGTCCGACACCTCCCAGGTGAGGTCAGAGTCATGCAGTCAATGTCAGTGATGTCAGAGCCAAGCTTAACTGGCTTTAATTTTTCACCTTGCAATAATAAGAAATCCAGGTTTTGTAGCTACACTTCTGAAACTTTTAAAATTATATAATTTAAAGAATAAAGTTATACTGAAAATTGCTTTGCATACAAAGGCTAGCAATAGCAGAGAAAAAGAAAATTAAGAAGAAAAAAATCAGATTTCGTAGAACTTGACTAAGGAAAAACTCCATGTGAGGCTGCAAATGGGATACAGTAAACAAAGACTGAGGGCTGATTTTCTGCATTATATCTATTATATACCCATCCCCCCCACACCTCCTCTATATCAGAACCACCGTTCTGTGTCCAAGGTGTGTTCTGTTTAGAAGACAATAAGAACATGGGAGGTCAGGAATGGTAACTGCTTCGGCTGTGTGGACTCTGCTTAAAATATTCAGAAGGTCTCCAAGAATTTCAAGGAAATCTTTAAGGCAGAATCAAGATAGATCATATTTCTTGTAAGTAACCCAAGGCTTTACAGGATAGAATTAATATCATCGTGACTATCCATTTTTAAGTTTTCCTTTTAAAGATTTAAAACCTGCCTTGCAGGCTATTTCTGTCATGGCATGGGGAATTTGGACTCAGTATGCCTGGTAATTAATGACTGTCTTTTTATACAATTAAAATTATACATCACAGCTACACTGAAAATCAAAAGTAGCCTATAGATTTCTACAAATGTCACTTGTCTTGTGCATCACAGATAGATGTGGATGGATAGATAGAATGGAAAATTCCCTCAAATAAAATAGGCTTTATTGAAATAGTTTTCCAGATAACCTGGTAAAAAACACAGGGTTTATCTCCATGTGAACTCTCTTTTAAATTTAAAACAGAGACTAGAAGCCCTGAATTTATCCCTGAGACTTTCCAGCCCTCATTCCAGTACAATATTATTTTGAAGCAAAGCATGTTAGCGTGTTAGAGCTACTTAAAATCAATTTTAATTTAGTCCTGTGCTCTAATTAGAATGAATCCTTTTCTATTTTCTGTGCCTAAGTGCCAAGACACTGACATGTGCTTAGATTTAAGTTCATAATGAGCCTCAGTTATTTTCAGCTCACAAGTGTAAAGCATTTGCTTTAGTATTCAGTGCCTATCTGACAGCCTTCTATCCTGAATCCTGGTGCACTCCCAGAGCTGCCTTCTTGCTCCTTTTCTGGCTTGCAGTGAGGCTGGGCAAAAAGGCTATTCCAGGCTCTGGCTTCACGTCATAATGTCTGTAGAGATAAGAGCTGATTTGTGCTGGTTAGATTAATAGCATCTTCTTCTCATGCTCTTTCTGTTTTGCAGTCTAGTTTTAGGCACATGTCAACTGATCCCAACTGCCCAAGTGAACGATATCTTCTCTACAGAGAATGGGCTCATCCCAAAAACATTTTCAAACTGCAACCCCTGGATTTCATCAGGTTGGTGTGACTGGGCCTAGACTAATGCAGAGGGAACTAGGAATTTGCATAACAGGTCTGGTTTGGGGGATGTCAAAGAAACAGAGCTCAGTTCTGACAGCAGATACATACACCTGTGTCAGCTGATACATGGGAGCATTCTTTGAGCTTGGTTTCATAAGCCAATTCATGAAAAGGCAACCACTTAAAATTCTTTGTGAGCTATGATCTTTCTCTCTTTTCCCTTTTTTTTCCTCCCCTTTCTATCCTCTTATAAAAGTATAAAAGGTGGTGATAGAAATACCCAACTGCAATACTCCTGCAATCCCAAAGTTCTAAACAGAGGAATATGACAATAAGAGTTGGCACAAAATGTGTGAAATTAAGAGCCATTTGAAACAGAAATGTGAATTTACTGGCATTTCAGAAAAAAAACCCAACAACTTTTCCCCTCCACAGGAAGTACTATGGAGAGAAAATTGGAATCTACTTTGCTTGGCTGGGCTTTTACACTAATATGCTGATCGTGGCTGCAGTGGTAGGAGCTGGCTGTTTTTTGTATGGATGCCTGACAAAGAACAACTGCACATGGAGGTACCTGATCAGGCCTATTTTAATATAATGTGTGATTTTGATCAGTCCCCCAGAGAGGGGGAATATACAGGGTTTGAAAGGCACTGCATAATAAAAGAGGCAAAATGAAAGGGCCTGAGAACAACGGTTGTGGATTTGAAGGTAAAGGCATAAAATATGAGATAAGAAAAGTAATGGATGTACATGGGCCAGTACAGTAATAGACATCTGACAATTTGTTATTTTATCATTTTATTTATATTTTGCACTAGGTTCACCACACCTACTACAGAAACACAGAGAAAAGAGTGACAATCAGAAGTCAATACAAATTGCTCTAACACATAATTTTCACTGTGGTAATCCTTAAAGGAGTTATCCAAAGACCTTGATAAAACCCCCAAAATTTCTTTCCTCTATTTTGAGAGAATAGAGGAAAAGCAACAGCACAGGGAGCTTCAGCTGACCAGGCTACGTTGGGAGGACAGTCATAGCCATGACAAAATCCAACCATGGCACAACAACCCAGGAAAAAGTGCCTGGGTCATTGTGCCAAATCATCTACAGGCCATTACACAGTATACCCCCTTCTGGAAGGGTGTTTATGTCTATAAAACATTCTGAAGGGCGGTTCCAGAGCTCCACTCCTGTGGTCATTTTATACCCATTTAGCATTATGCCAGTATTATAATTTAGTGAAATAGCTGATGTCCCTTCCTGGTGTTATACCCCACTGATGTATTTATAGACAGCAATTACATCATCTTTCAACCTCCACCATACTAGGTTAGTATGTACTAGTTATATGGCAACTCTTTTGCAATGTCTTAGGAGACAGTTCTTGCAATTCCTTGAATCACCTTAACAGCCCCCCTCTGCATGTTTTCCAATCTGACCCTAGGTAGACATTTTGGTTCTGCAGCTATTCCTTGCTCTGGTAGGCAGTGGTCCTCTTCCTTCTCCCCTTGGACTTGCTATGATAGCAGGTGTGAGCATGCAGGTGTGAGTTACCTATTGAAGGGTATGAGATCTTTGATGAGTCATTATATTTTTAATATGAGCAGTTTTGTGAATTTACCACCACATACAAAGGATGGAAATTATTTTCCTCCTATGTCATCCATTTTTGAAATGAGGACTAAGAATGGAAATGGGGATGTGTTGCCAGGGCAGCGGGGGGGAATTCTTGAGAGCAGATCACTGGTAAATTATTTCTCAGTTCCCTGAGATTATTGCATTGTCCCCATATGCAAAAAAAAAGGACTAAAGAATTTAGTGCTGGTGAGTGACTGACTAGTTTTGTTTTTAGCCAAGAAGTATGTGATCCCAACATAGGAGGTAATATCATAATGTGCCCTCAGTGTGATAAAGTATGTACCTACTGGAACCTCACCATCACTTGTGAATCGTCCAAGGTAACTACATTTACAGTTTATAGACACACTATTGATCTTTAGTTGCATTCTCTCTACTACTACGTATAAAATGATGTTCCTCCACTAATGTCCTGCAGAATTGCTAGAACTGTGCAAATAGTTGTTCCTTTTGATACAACTGAACTTTGAAAAGTAAAAACAACACTAATTCCTCCAATTTGATCCAAGATGGAAAAAAATGGTTGTTTTATTTTAGATAGCTGCCAAATATTTGATACAGGACTAAAGTGGGTTTTAATGAAACTCTTTGGTTTCATTTGGGGCTACTTCTTTCTTTTTTTTTTGGGGGGGGGGGGAAAGATTCAATTATTAAAGTCTTGATTCAGTAGCTCTGAATCAGTTTTGCTAAGGAAATGTTTAAAGCATGTCTTGACATTTCTAAGTTCTGCCCCCTTCCTCTCAAAAGAAGTTATCTGAATCCATGCCTTGAATTTGACCTGTGTTGTCAAGGAGGAGACGGGCAGAAGGAGAGGCTGACATTGGCCACGACAGAGGCTGTGACACAGCCATGTCCTCTTAGCCATGACACAGCCAGACAGTAGCTGTGAGTTCCTGTCTAGAGACTCACAAGTCTGAGTTACTAAGAGGATCCTCGCTTTCTTTCTCCATTACCTTTTCACACTAGGCTAATGTTAACATTTTATCATTCCTTTCCATAGATTCAGTCACTCCCAAAATCGCAGTTTTTCAGCTATTCGTCAAAAATATATTGCTCAGCTTTAATGTGTTGCTTCGGCGCACTTAAAGGGTAAAAGATACAAGAATACAGGGAAAGGCTATGATGGAAAGAAAAGTCAAATTGTGACCACAGAAGTATCTTCTCAGAATGTATTTTTACAAGCTATCTTGATTTGTTGTCGTCCTGCTCATGAGAACCAGATGTGTCCATTGCCTTTTTGTGGTTGTATTAAAAATACATAACTCTATATTGAGTTCCCAGAGCAGAAGCGCTGTTTTTCCTCTTCCTATGCAACAGATGGAAGGAAGTTTGGTAGCATACCATTTTACTACCCTCTTGCTGCATATTTGGCCTATATTTTTAATTCTGGGCTTTGCATTTATTTTTCTTAATTTAATGGAGGGTGGTGTACATTGACAGAATTTGAGTAAATTCTATAATAAAGATTGTTTATTAAACTACATAAAAGCTAAAAATCAATATGTTCAGTAAGCAGCTTCTGTTCTAGGTTAGTGTAGAAGAAAAACTATGGTCGATTATATTTTAAGCCTTTTTTTTTTTTTTTTTTCCATTTTTTCCAGAAACTCTGTATATTTGATAGCTTTGGAACACTGGTGTTTGCAGTATTTATGGGAATATGGGGTAAGTTAATTTCAACAACTGCGGTTTGTCATCTAATTTTGGCCAAGCCTCCAGCATCAGCCAAGAAAACATGGATAAATTTGCAATGACTTCATTTTCTAGCACTCAGGAATTCACCAGTAGGTTGTTCCATAGAAGATACATATATGCACAGGAGCTCTTTTTTAGCATCCTCAAAAAATAAAAAATTGTAGAACTTAAAAAGTTGGTATTCAGTGTCTGTTTTGTTTTGACTTGGAGAAAAGTCCCAAAGAAGTGATTAGAACTGCCTCATGTTCATCCAGCAGGAGCCAGCCACATGCTTAAGTATATCTGACAGAGGAGCTCTTTTTTTTCCAGAGTTTTGGAGCTGCCTGTGCCTATTAACAGCTGCGTGACTGTGCAAGGCTATTGAAAAATAGTCATTTATTGTATTTCCCAGGAATTTTTTCCTCCTGTCTTTATTGAGGAAACCGATTGTAAAAAGTGTAGTAGTTCCAAGCACTAGATTTATCTTTTAGCAGAGAAAATGTATCTGAAACCAGGATCTTTCCCATGGGTGAAACCATTTGATGATGTATGTAAGGGATTAGGCAAGGTTTATTTTCCCAGAAACAGTTTTGTTTTTTCATATTAACCACTTTGTTAACTGTTCTTTATTGCACTGTCGTATCCAGAAATGACCAAAGTAAGTTATACGTTAGGTCTATATACAGGGTACTGTAGAGAAAATAACTCATGTAACATTTTGAATTCATATGTAGGCTAACAAGAAAACATAATTTGCTTTCTTTGTAAAACATCTTGTATTTTTATTATCCTATGATGACTTAAAGTGCTTCAAAATAGCTACTGCTTTAAGAAATATAAGATGAAACATATCATTTTGATAATAATATTTATTTCAAAATATACACTAAAATCAAAAGACGATCAGGAAATTCTCTAAATAAAAGAAAATTGGAAGTCTGATACTATTGTAATCTTCTCCTGACATCTGAATAGTGAATTTACTTGCAATTTTCTTTCCAATTAAAATTGTATTTCCTGTTTTGAAAAATTATTCCAAGACTAATAATTACAAAAGTTAAGTTTCCTAGTTATAGAGATGTCTGCAGAGTCTATTAGTAGTCTTATCATAAGTCCACTATATAAAGAGGTGAATTGTATTACAGAAATTCAGTGAAAATTGTACTGGATCCAAATGACCCATGGTCCTGGTACAATTCCAGATGTAATTTTCATCTTGCTCTAATACTTTTGTAGACATCCTGGTTCAAAACAATCAAAAGAATCTTAGATTTTTAGATATATTATTGCATCATTATCATCAATACACTTTTTAATACCTGTGGGGTTTTTTTAGTATATTCCCTTCAAAGATCTCAAAGCACAATAAAACAACAGGGAATTTGGCCTCAGGAATTAACCCTCTATACATTAGTGCTCTAGACCAGTGCTTCTACCACTTCTCCTGTGATGGCAAGACTAGTTGGCAAAGTTCCTGAAGAAGAAGATTCCACTTAATTTGCTGCCATCACTGGATCCCCTCCCTGAACAAGATCAGTTAAACAAAGAAATATTCTTCAACTAAGGCATTTCTCTTCAGTTCTTGGTGACACAGAATACCTGGGTCATACTGAATGGCAGTGTTGAGGGACGTGTGACAGGGGACACCACAAGGTGGAATTAGCACTTGGATCTCCTGATTCTGAAATTTCCTTTGTTTCCATGGTTTAAAAATGCTGTTTCAAAATAAAAGGAAAATGTCAAATCCAGAAGTAGCTCCTTCCCTGTTCTGAAAGACATAGCTTGGCTGCTGGTTTATTTTAGCTAGCAGAAATTTTCTTTGTATTGGGGCTGAGAGAGCTGTCCCCATGTTATGTGCCCTTCTTTTGCTATTAGCACAGAGGCAATCACAGCAGGAGGCCCTGCACTGCTGGATTCACCACCAGCAGCTGGATTTGCAGCTGGAGTAGCCTGTGTAGCCTGTAGCTTCCTGTGATTTGGGTTGGGCAGCAGTTCGAGGTTCATGGAAGACTAATCTCCTTGCTCTTCAGGAGAATGCACATGTGATCATCTGGCCAACTTGCCTTTGTGCTTCTAAGCATGAAGTAGCAGAGAAGTCCTGGTGAAAGAGGCCCCTGGATAATCAGGGAGGAGGGTTTGCTGGGATTTTGCCTGTGTGCAGATGCCAAGTCATCTCACAGCCCAGCCCATGAAGTTTTCTGGTTTTTAAATGCTTTGGTTTGGGGTTTATTGACTACACCTGATTTTGGAAATAACCTTTAATGTTTGGACTTGTAACTGCGTGCCACTGATGTTTCATCATTCAGAATGAGGAGCCAAGCTAATAAAACCCCCCACACTTTGATAGTTAATTACTCCCAGACAGTGGGAGTAATGAGGAGTGCAGTGATGGGATACTAACTCCTCCTGGAGGTCGTACTGCAGAGCCACACCACTCATTTAATCTGAGGATGCACTGTTTTCAGTAATAAAGCAACTGGATGTACTGGGTAGCATGGTACTGACACCCATCATCCTGAGCTCCTCCCAGTCTTCTCAGCTGGGTCCGCCATTGCCTCTTCTGCCAGATCTACCTGCATAATGTCTCAGGACAAGGTAATGAATTTGGCTGGATTCATGTCTAGCCAGTAACACTTAGACATCTCTAGCTGCTACCCCACTGCTTCCAGTTGTTAAGAACCCAGTCTAGGGAAACTGCTGGCCCAGCCCAGAGTTTCTAAGATCCATGCCATGCAGAAGGAGCTGCAGCCCCTTCGGATTTGTGCTAGCAGAGGAAGAAAGACAGATGTGTTTAAGCAGCTTTACCCGAACCATCATTGCTTCTTGTAGTTTGCAAACTGTTAATTTATCCACACAAAAATTGCAGACTGAATGAACATGAGCTTTTCCCTGTGGCAATTCTTGGCATACTGACTTTTTCTCTTCTAGAAGTCCTGCACTCTCTATTTTGTCTTTACCTATCCAACCAGCTTGCTTTCTTATACATCCTATGATAAACTTTTTCTAAAGCAGTCTGTAATATGAAATCCAAAGTGCTCATATTCTAGCCTTAGTCAGAAAGCAAATAAATGTATATATGCATTCTTTAACATGTGCTTACACCACCATTTACCTCAGGTTTCTATTATTAAAGTACCTATGTATCCAAAGCGATAATTACATAAAGGAGTAGATCTGGTTATTTTCACCATTATATTAGCCAATAAGGGTTTTATTCCATGTCTGTAGAAATCTATATGGAAAACTGAGCCGCGTGTTATAGCCCAGGGGGTCAAGCAGTGTCCAATACTCACATGGTATTGCTCATTTTGTCTATCTTCTGCATAGTTACTTTGTTTTTGGAGTTCTGGAAGCGACGGCAGGCTGAACTAGAGTATGAATGGGACACAGTTGAGTACTTAGAGCAAGAAGAACAAGTTCGTCCAGAATATGAAGCTCAGTGCACTCATGTGGTAATGAATGAAATTACACAGGTAAGGAATATTTTGGCTACTGGTGATGTTGTGAGAGGACAATATGAAAATGGTTAATCTGGTCTGGAGCTGTATAAATCAGCAGTGCTTCAAGGAGAGTTGATAAACCAGCCTGGAAACAGTGAACTTAGAAAGTACAGATGCATGGGAGGGAATTTATATCTAACCATAGGTGCCGTAAAGTAGTTGGCTGTTTGAGGAGCTTGCACTGCTAAGGTTCCTGTCTCATAAATAAACAGAAGTAGGCATTGTCCCCAGCTTAGGAGACTAAGTGTACTTTATTAAATCCCCGGGAAATGATTGAGTGTTGCTGCCAGAGGCCAAGATCGTAGGCCATTTGCTATCTTTGCCTAAGAATGCACCAGGAAAAAAGGGTGAAATAGAGAGAAAGATGTTACATTATATATCATGCCAAGACTCTTTTTAACCAAAGATGTTTCTGTTTGAAACATGTGTAAATAGGTATTGTTGCTAAATGCATGTGGATGCAACTATGATTAATAACAGCAAGCTCACAGGGACAAGGATTATCCTCATTTCGATTAAATAGAATTCATATTTATGAAGATGTTAATTTAGATCTCTATTTATTATACATTTTGTGTAGCTTTAGCTTCTGTAGCTCACTCCAGCTCAGCTTCACTTTATTATTCTCTGTCAATATATTACTCGAGCATTTATCTGATCATTTGCATTGCTTTCACATTCCATCCACATTACACTAATGTTTATTAGAGGGCATTTGAAAAGTTTCAGAATTAACTGCCATAGTTTAAACTATCTAGATAGATCTTATTTTCATATCTTGTACTACAAAAAAAATTGGTTCTGTTTAAAAGCTTATAAACCTGTGCCACCTGTAATGTATGAAGTCATATATAGAAAGTTCCTTTCAGACAGTTCAAAGAGTGAAGAATATGCTAAAACATAATGATTTTGGTTCTCAGAGATCCTATAAAGACTCAGTGAATTTTTTACACCACCATATTGAGGTAGGCATTTTCCTTGGGAAAGACATCCCATTGTTCCTATGGGATAAGTTGAGAAAGACAGAGATCAGGGACAAAAATTTTAGTGCCTGCTAATTTTGGCCAGTGAGGTTAGAAAGGTAATGACCTTGGATGCCATGATCAGCCAAGAAGGATGGGTCCATTCAAAAGGACTATGCACCCTGTCATAGCTGAACTCAGTAAGAGCTGAGGACACCCAGCTTCTATGGGAGTCATTTTTATCTTAGAATTGGCAGGAATAAAAAGGCACTTGTAATCAGGCAAGACTTTTGAAATCATGAGTAAATGTGACTTCCAGAATAACAAAGCAGGAAAGGAAACAAAACAAGGGACTTCTTCATTTTTTTCTGCCCTGAATATCATAAAGGGCTTAATTGGAACACACCAAAAAATATGAAAAAAATATTTGGTGCATCCTTGATCTTTTTTTACAGCAAGAAGAACATGTGCCATACACTGCCTGTGGGAAGTGCATACGGATGACTTTCTGTACAAGTGCAGTCTTCTTCTGGGTAAAGTTGTCCTCTTATTCTTTAACCTCATGAATTCACTTCTCTAGTAAATGTCTTAAAAAAAAGATCCTCATCAACTGAACAAAAGCTAACAATGGAACAGGTTCAGCTGGATTTCTACCTGATGCATAAACCAAGCCCATCAGATGTGAACCCACATGAAGAAGGTAGCCGTAGTCACAGAACACTCATTAGCATACAGTCAATAGAAAATATGTATCAAAATATCCTGCAGCTCTAGCTTGTGAGTTATGCTTGCAAATGTGGCCCATTGTTTTTGAACTCATTATTTTAAGATAAATGTCTTTATTGGGAGGGGGGCGGGGATAGGGGAAGGATTTTGGTTTATATGCTCTCCTCACTGCCAGTTTCTATACTACTTGTTCCAGCTGTTTGCTTCAATGTCATGTCTCACAGTCCCAGCGCTCTTTCAGGTTTTTCATTTCACTTAAAAGAGCAAAGCTGGGTGCTCTCTAATCCCCCAGAGCTGCTGCTTTAATTACAACTAAAACTCGAAAGCAGTCCAGTCATCCATGAAACAATATGTAACAAGGTGAGCATGCCCAAAGAGGTCACCTTGAAAAGCTCAGTGTTTCAGCATGCTGCATGTCCTACTCGCCTGTAGCACAAACAGCAACTGAAGAAGACCTCATTCTACCTGATTTGAGACAGACAGGAGATAAGAGTGGTGGCTGGCAGCCCAGGAGAGCCTCAACGCTAACATGTCTGAAACATAAAGGAAAGAATACTGGCTTGCTGTGGATTTCAATAGGCAGGACTTCAGGTTGAAGGGAAGAGATTTGGTCTGGGTTTGTCATTTGTGTTACTGCACTTTTACTATGTGCAGGGTAGGGGGAGGTAGGTGGTTTCGTGGCAATTTACAGAGATAGTGAAAAAAAGATTCACAGCTCTATGGACCTCAATCTGAATAATAGCTAGAGAACTAGCAGGAAATAAAAGCAGGAGGAGAAACAGAGAGAAGATAGCAAGCAAGATGGGGTACATGGATCATTATTACAACTCTTGCAGATTACATTACTTGGTTTAAAATTTGTCTACTCCTTTGAGGGTTCTGTAGTCTATAATATTATAATGTGAAAGAGAAGGTACAGCCCCCTCCATAATCATTGCAGTCTTGCTAGTACATTTGCCATCCTGACAATTGCCCACTGTCAAAAGAGGGAGATTTCTTCCATCACATGCCTCAAGGCATAAGATTTGATTATGCATCTCATTATCTTTTCTCACATCTGTACAAACTTTGTTATTAGTCATAAATCAGACCATCTCTTTTCTTTCCTGCAGATTGACTATGCTACATGAAAAAAACATTTCTTTTATGGATTCTAAATTTATTGCCTTCTATCTTATTTGAGCATCCTCTTGCACTCATCTTATGTGATGGAATGACAGGCACACAATAGGTTTCCTTTTGCCTATTGTAGAAAGTATTTCAAACTCACTTTTTCCCAAAGCCAGTGGTTCAATATTAACATCTTTCTTGTGTTCCCTTGGCAGATTCTTTTGATTATTGCTTCAGTTATTGGAATCATTGTCTACAGACTCTCAGTTTTCCTGGTGTTTTCTTCAACGTTGTCACAGCACATTAATGGAACGGAGGCAATCCGCAAGTACCTGACTCCGCAGACAGCCACTTCAGTAACTGCTTCGTTCATCAGCTTTATAGTCATTATGGTTCTCAACGTCGTCTATGAAAAAGTGGCAATCCTGATTACTGACTTTGGTATGCTGCTGCTGTACCTCAGATAGAAACTTGGGGTAAAATAGCAAGAAAAAACAGCATTTATATCTATAATAAGAATTCCAGTAAATGAACACCTGTACCACATATTTCAGAATTTTCCCACCAAATCACACAATACCCCCTAGAAATTTTCAAATACAGATTTTCTCAATATCAAAAGAATATGATATTCAGCTCTTTGCCTGAAAACTCCTTGTATAGCCTGAAAACTCCTTGTATAGCCAGTATGAAAGATCAGTTGTTTACAGTTTTCTGCTTGTGAAACAGACAAAGCAAAGAAAATTACTATAATATCCAAGCTTTATGAAAACAGATCAGTAACGCATAACACATTCAATTACATTAGCTTTCGTTTATGGGGAAAATAGCTATTTTCTTGTAAATAAATGAAATAAGGTCACTGTTCCAAAGCTAGATACTATTCCCATGTTATTAAATAGATAAACAGTCACAAATATTATTATTCTTTATATCCAGGCCATCAACATTAAAGTAGCTATTTTACTTTAGATGTGTGAAATAGTGTGGTGTTTTAATATAGTTTCATTTAATACTGTTTCATCAGTTCATAGTGTTACATTTGCATCTTTCCTGAGTGTGTTAGATTTGGGTGCTTTTTTTTCCCTGAGTTATCAGAATTTTTGCATGTTCTTTTTCTTTATTGTCAAGGAACAAGTTATTTCCTTTTTAAAAGTTTTAGAATTAGCATAGTGGTTACAGAATACATGGGGGGTTTGTGTAAACTAATTTATAACACTCAGTCATAGTGAAGAATACAGGGCATACACATAATTTTCAAGCTGAGGCTCTAAAGCAACTTGTAGGTTGGCTTTTTAAAATTTATTTATTTATTTTAATTGCAGAGCTTCCAAGGACACAGACTGATTATGAAAACAGTCTAACCACAAAGATGTTCTTGTTCCAGTTTGTCAACTACTATTCTTCATGCTTCTACATAGCCTTCTTTAAGGGGAAATTTGTAGGTCACCCTGGAAATCCAGTTTATTGGCTGGGAAAGTATCGCAATGAAGAGGTAAGAATGTATGGTAGTGTTTGTTTTTAGACATCAGGAGCCATTAGACCAAGTATTCTGCTGCAGTTAGGAGTATATAACATAGTTGTACATACTTAACATGAAGGTTCAAAAAGTGACTGTCTCCCAATTGCCTCATTAGTAACGCCTAACATACAACAATATGACACGAGACCAGTTGGGCTTACAAATGTATTATGTGTACCCAGACAAGCTTCTTTGCCCATGGTCAAACAATCTGTGAATTGGCACATGGGAAGGGGAGAACATCGGTAGAAGCATTCCTGTTCTGCTGGGTGACCCTCACCTGGTGACAGCACAGTACGGACCTGCATGACTTCACCTGGTATTTCACTCTTTCATTAGTGTCCTCTCAATCTATCATATATGACCATATGTGGCCCGGAATTGGCTTTTGCATACCTTGTTGGAAAGGTTTGCCTGAATAGTCTTCTTGTATTGCTTTAAGAAATGTTATCATAATAAACCAGGAATGCAGCATTTTAAATGCTTCAACCTGAAAAATTATCCAGCTTCCAAAATTTTTCATGTCTCTCCCAACATTCAGTGTGATCCAGGAGGATGTCTCCTTGAACTCACAACTCAGCTTGCTATCATAGTAGGAGGTAAAGCAATCTGGAACAACATTCAAGAAGTGCTTCTTCCGTAAGTTCAAACTATTAAGTAATCTGCTCTTTCACACTTGAAAGATACTGCTTTTGCTTGATGCATTCAGGCATTTGGTCACTAAATTTGATAAGCACATATTGTATTCTAAAAGAATAAGACTAGTCTTTCGGGGCCTTTTTAGACAGTCTGGTAGCTCTGAGCTCCTGTCTCTGTCGTTCAGACTGATTGAGTTCTAATCAGAAATGCTTCCTTCCTCGATAAATCAGACTCAGTATGTTTCAGGTTGGATATTTAAAACTGAGGCAATAGAAGCTCCAAAAATATTAAACTAAATACTGTTGCTTAATATTGAGTGGAATGATTTGTTATACATTGGGCTTTTAGAAGTCATGCATAAGTTACCAAATTAACTCATTTAGTTTTACAGTCATGTTTAGCATTCATAGTGCCTATACATTCTCTTTCGGTGGAGCAGACCTCTAGAAGGTCATGTTTTAATGTGAACAATAAGCAAAGTGCTAACCACGAATGCCCTCCATTTAATTTGGATTAAGATACTATCCAGGACTCTGTTCCTTGTCCCAGGACTTGTTGTTTATTTTATGCTGATCAGTGGCTGTTCTGTTGCTTGGAGTGTAGGGAACTCCCAATTTGCTCATGCCCTCCTAAATGCCATAAGCACCAGCCAACAGCATTGTATTCCCTCTGACTGTGGTTCTTCCAAGCCCACACATTCTGCTTTTTTGCTACACAGTGACACCACTTCAAAGTGTGTCATAAATACTGTAGGGTTGAGGCTAGGATGCTCAGCTGAGATACGGTTCCTCCAGGATCCAGTGAGCCATACATGCTGCTGGTTGCAGGATGGACCTGTAGACCCATCCTTCTTTTCAATGTCTTCTTTTACTGGGTAAGGTTCCCCAGGCTGAGCATGCCTGCAGATGTCAGCTCCAGCCATAGACAACTGACTCTCACTTCTACATACAGGAAATATATCCATCTGACCAGAATTTTTAATTCACTTCCCAGGGTGACAAGTAACATTTAGGTGTTGAAATGCCAAGTATCACTTCTGGATGTGGTTCTTAACTGCCCTCCCATTCTGCATCTCTGCAAGTATAAAGAAAATCATTTGGGTTTTTTTTCTCTGTGATAGACATTCACCCCCATTTGCCTTTTTTTGAATATTGTTCTTTGACTGATGAAAACGACTACAGCCAATTCATCAGTTTTCTCAAATTCTCATGCAAGCCTTTCAGATGAGAAGATCAGCCTCACCTCAATTCCTAGGAAGGTGAAGGAACAGCTAATGCTGGAAACCATTTCCAGGCACATGAAGGACAAGAAAGTCATCAGGAGTAGTCAGCATGGGGAAGTTAAGATTGACCAACCTGCTAACCTTCTATGATGAAATGACTGGCTCAGTAGATGAGGGAAGAGCAGTGGATATTGACACCAGGTCCTCAGTAAGGATGTTGACAATGTCTTCCGTAAAAGCCTCCTAGAGAAGCTATTGAAGTATGGGCTGGATGAGCAGACAGTGGTGTGAACCAGCTGAATGACAAGGCCTGGAGGGTAGCGATCAGTGGCATGAAGTCTACTTGGAGGCCAGTCACTAGCAGTGTACCCCAAAGATCACTACTGGGTCCTGTCCTATTTAACATCATCATTAGTTATCTGTTTGTGGGAACAGCGTGCACCCTCAGCAAGTTTGCAGATGACACCAAACTGATAAATCAGAGGGTTGTACTACCACCCAGAGGGACTTCGACCGGCTGGAAAAATGGGCTGACAAGAACCTCATGGAATTCAACAAGGGGAATTGCAAAGTGCTGCACCTGAGGAAGAACAGCTCCATGCACCAGTATTGCTGGGGGCCACCCAGCTGGAAAGCAGCTCAGAAGAAAAGGAACTGGGAGTCATGGTGAACACCAAGTTGAACTTGATCCAGCAATGTGCTGTTATGGCAAAGAAGGCTAATGGTCTCTTCAGCTGCATTAGGAAGAATGTTGCCAGCAGGTTGAAGGATGTGATCCTTCCCCTCTACCCAGCACTGAGGAGGCCACACCTGGAGTACTGTATCTAGTCCTGGGCCTCCCAGTACAAGAGAGATATGGGCATACTGCAGAAAGTCCAGCAAAGTGCCACAAAGATGATGAAGGGACTGGAGCACCTCACTAATGCACAGTGACAGGACCAGAGGCAGTGTGCGCAAACTTGAGCACAGGACATTGCCTCTGAACAAAAGAAAACATCTTTTTACTGTGAGGGTGACCAAGCACTGGCACAGGTTGCCCAGAGAGGTTGTGGGGTCTCCATCCTTGGAGATATTGAAAAACTGTCTGAGCATGGTCCTGGGCAGCTGGCTCTAGGTGGCTCTGCCTGTGCAAGGAGGGATTGGAGCAGATGACCTCCAGAGGTGCCTTCCAACCTCAACCATTCTGTGATTCTGTGATAGAAGGATCACAGGCTTACATTTAGCTCGATGTTTTGTTACCTTGAATTTTATGTGGTCGTTCGCCTGTACAACATATGTATAAATCACTATGGTTCTGATACATTGCCATTTTACACTCTTATTTATGATTGTAAATAACTGCTTTTGGGGTAGGGCAACAGAAGATTATACTCATGTTTGAAGGAATTTTTCAGTAATTCAAGAATAATTAAATGCACTGTTTAAAGCTGTAACAGCACAAATGTCATTTTTTTTCCATTTACCAAACATTTTAGGTTATTTTACCAATCTTAGTGGTCTTTTTCTCCCTGGCTGATAGTTGGGTTAAGAATCTAATCGGAAGATACTGTGCAGCTGCTAGATCAGAAAAAGTTGTTCCACGCTGGGAACAGGACTACCACCTCCAGCCCATTGGAAAACTTGGACTGTTTTATGAGTATCTTGAAATGGGTAAGTAGCAGTTTAGTTTGGATTCACTACCAGTGCTGCATACAAGCATGCTCTAAAGAAAATCTTCAAACAATTTATGTGTAATAAGTGTACAGACAGAGGAGACATTAATGTTTTCCAAGACAAGTTTTGATGAACCCTTACAGATAATTTTGCAAGTTTTTATTAAGCAGCGAAGCCTTAATCGAATTTATAACTAGGAAAGAGCACCTGATTGTACAAGGAGGAGTACTGCTGCTTCTTTGCCCCATCCTCTGAGAAATGAGTCCAGAAGGCAGGCCACTGCCATGTTCTGGTGTTGCGCAGCAGAGCCCTGTGTCAGACTGCTCTGCCAGGGGTCTGTAGTCATTAGGACTTGTTGCTGTCTCTTGGGAACTGGCAGATCTCTGGTTTGTTGCCACCATCCATTCTGTCACAGCATTGCCTGCGTACTTGTCACAGCACCTGGACACCAGTGAGACAATTGTTAGCTCAGGCTTTCCACCACTGAGGCAGATAATCATTAGATTTCCAGGTCTTCGTGATGAAGACATAAGAAATGGATGTTTAAATACCCAGAATATTTCCTCTTGGTGTGTTATGACTTGTAGCATTTTCCTGTCCCCTTCGCCTAGCAGGTTTTTTCAGTACTGTTGTGCTCCCATCTTGTCATATAGAAGATTTGCTAGGAACTCAGCTACCCTTTCTTGTCTTCCTCTCCCACAGTTGAAGTATATAAAGTATACATGCTCATGCATGCTTTCTTCAGTAAGTGAAAGCCTCACTGATGTATGTAACCTCTCCCTTTGACAGTTATACAGTTTGGCTTTGTCACTCTGTTTGTGGCGTCATTCCCCCTGGCTCCTCTCTTGGCTCTTATTAACAACATGTTGGAAATCCGGTTGGATGCATGGAAGCTGACGACCCAGTACAGGCGCATGGTTCCACAGAAGGCACAAGACATTGGTGCCTGGCAGCCCATCATGCAAGGCATAGCCATTCTGGCAGTGGTCACCAATGTAAGTACAGTGCCGACAACTGCAAAAAGTAAAATGCCTTCTTCACTACAGCTGTTACATCCAAATGTGGGAATGCCACGTGTGGCAATGTAGCACTTAAATGATCCTAAATGAATTACGAGCATCAGACCCTTAAGACTTCAGCCCCTGTGAAACAGGCTCTCAATTACTTTCCAGATGTTTTGGAAACAGAATAAGGCTACTGTCTGAAATATTATATCTAAAGAAAAGACATTTTATTTAGAGTTGCTAGAGTCTTCAGAAAAATGTTACATACGAAGACTGTAGCTCATCTTTCCTAAAATTATAGCACATAGTACAGAGATCTTTTTGGACAGTCTACAGCTAAATGCATGAATCTTGAAAAAAAAAAAAAATAGGTTGCAGTTTAGCTAAGTTATAACCGATTGTTGTTCCTAATTGTTACATTCTTACACTCAATGCCTTTAGATGTGAATTTGGCTTTAAGGAATCTTGCACTTAAAATAGGAATTCAGCTTCTTTTTTAAGGTACTTTAAAATACATTGTGTGATCAAAATTGCAGCACTTAGCTTTAGAGATCAAAACAAATTTTCTGAGAAACTGCAAATTAATCTGGTTTTCATTTGGATTTTAAAATAATTTTAAAAGAGTTTCTTTAAAATATTTAGAAATTTTTCCCTGATGAACATACTCCTAACAATTAAATTCAGACCTTTCAAATTTCCCATATCGTTAATTCACCAATACTTTATAGATAGGCTTAATTGTGGGGAGAAAAATAATTTATTGGACATTACCACTGTGAATTATTTGATTGCTTATTCTTAAATAGTAGCTAATATGTATTACCTTTCCAAAAATTCTCACTGTTGACCTTTCTTAAAAGAGCAGTGACCACTGGTTTGCTCTGCAGGAACAGTAACACCACAGACTGTCCATGGTTAATAGCCTTTTACAACAAGGTCATAATTTTCTACTGTTATTGGTGAGATCAGGGATCCCTTCTGGCACGCTGAAAGGTAGTCACTTTCTCTAGGACCTTGTCCTTGCAGTAGCAATACTTTATTGTGCTCAGTAGGAGTTTCTGGAGAAAACAGTTGAATTTTGAAGACAAGAGTTCATCTTAGCCCAAGTTTTCACAGGAGATTCTGCCTGTTTGGAGAATGGTGGACTTAGGGTAAGAGGAGAAAGGCGCAGCTGAACACTCTACTATAGATGCTAACTCGATAGTTAGGGGACTTACTTCAAGTGAAAGAGCAATTCAAATTTAAATATGGACATGAACTTACATTTCTGTATCTCAGACACCTTCTATAGTCATTAGGTGCTTGCCTGGTCTGGGCTTTCAACCCCAGGGTTTCTGCTTTACAGAAATAATATAGGGATAGTATGTGCCCCTTCTTCTCCCAGTGTCTCTGCATATTCCTCTCTCTTTTTTCCCCCCACTTTAAGAAGTCTCTGTTTTGCCCCTGGAAGGATGAGGCTGTTTTTGAAGAATGGGTAGATGAACTTCCATGACCTGACAGCCTATTGGGTTATCATCTTCTCAGTAGCTTGGTTTTGTTATTTTGAGGGCTGGGGGTGGTACCATGTAGAAATGGGAGCACAGAGTGGATTTCGGCAATTAGGAAAATTTTATGTCAGCCTTAGCTACCAGATGTATTTTCAGGTATTCGAAGGTCTCCCAAGATGGCCGTTATTCTTGTTTGGAACTTTATTTTGCACTATAGCAATTCAACAGGTATGGTAAACATAACTAGGATGTAAAGGGGAGACTCAGGACAACATAAAGGCAGAGAATTAAGCACAGAGAAATGTCAGAAGAAAAAGAGAACTCAAGGATGGAAAATTTACAAGAGAATCTGGGAGACAGATGACAACAAGCTCAAGCATATGCTCCATCTGTTTTGCACTGCTCTTCTGAGGCAAGGCAAACATAAATCCAGCTGTTCCATAGGCATGTGAACATCCAAGGCCTACTAGTAAATCTGGTGTTAAATATTTTTTTAAAAAAAGCAACTTCGGTAACACATGTTCAGACTGTTCGAAATATCAGGTGGCACCAGAGATGCTTTGGGGCTCTTGTGGTTTAGTGCTTGTGCAAAAAATTGTTAATGATAACTCATAGCAAATGATGCAAATCCCAGCAGATAATGAAAATTCACAGATGAAGCATAGCTTCATCTAGCATAGCTAGGAGTAGAGGCAACATTGTTGGTGCGTTAATATCCTCTTTTGAATGATGCTGCTAGAAAACTTATAAAATAAAAGGTAAAAAAGTGTCTGGTATCCTGGAAGAAAAACACGTTATGCTATTGGATAAACTGTCTTTCCTAGTCCATCCAGCTGGATCTTGTAATACCATTATGAAATAAAAAGTTGGATATACATCTTAAGATTACTTTAAAATATTGTTGCAAGTACCTTAGTCATAAGATTTTCAGGGCAGAGTTAAAGTTAGCTTTGGTGACCTTGCAGTGACTCAGACATGTGTAGGCTTCTGTTAGGAATGTATTCATGCCCTGCTTTCTGCAGAAAAATGACCCAGCAATAGGTGTCTGTCCACTGCTCAGTCACAGCCCATCTGAGACTAACCTGAGCTTTGCAAATTTTTTCACTCCAAATTCCTCCTTAAATGCTACACACCTCAAGGCATCACAGAAAACATGGAGTCCTCGATGTGCAAAAGTATATTTACAGCTTGGTTTTACGCTCTATCTTCCTTGACAGACCCTGTCAATAATCCTGGTGTTCATATAACTGTTAGCTGCAGGCATGCTTCTTTTAGAGTCACCCTTTTGGAGGTCTCACGTGCTAGATACAGTTAACGTCAGTGTGAATGCCACTGACATCAGTGGGGCTATTAGTGCGCAAGAAGAACAGCACCAGAGACTGTCGTGTTCAGAAGGCCCTGCTGCAGGTGTTGTAAGGACCTCAAAGAGATCAGTATTTCTTGCGATAAAGCCATGTACCAGAGCAAATGCTAGAAGCAGTTTTCTTCCTTTAAGTATGCTTTTTCTTGTTTGACATCCAAGATCTAGTATAGGTCATCAGTCTTTCCCATCCCTGCCTTGATTTTTCCTTAGTATGCAGAAACTGTTCTTCTCTTCTGTGTGACTTATTACAGCTGATTAGACTTGGGTAGTGTATCATCTTCTCCTTCATGCATTACGTTTGTAACATCTGCTAGGAACTTGCAAGCAACTTCTGCACAAAACTATCAGTTTTGAGACTTGCTGCTCAGGACTGGACTTGCTATTTATTGTATGATACCAAAGCATCTGTTGTTGAAGACTTATTTTAATTAGTTATGGTATAAATGGAACACTGTGTGCAGTAATGCTTGGGAAGTAGAGAATATGCTATTTGTTTGTAGTTCTTTGGTGCAATACTCTGAAATGCAGCCCATAATTCAGGAGGAAAAAAAGTTTTCCCTTTGAGAGGACACCGTAGGATTAGCTTTCATATTTCTGTCCTTGCAGCTCTCTGGAGCACATCTGGAGATCATTCTGAGCGAGGGAGGAGAGTGAGACAGGGTTCAAATTTAGCATGATGAGAGACCTGGGGCCTTGCAAATATTAAATTGTGTAAATACCATATTTCAGTATCTTTCTGAATGATATAAAGAAGCAGCATCAAACTCATTTGGTCCAAAGGGAGAAGGGATTTTTTTTTTGCCTTACTGTTTAGTTGCTATTAGTTCATTGATGGTCTAATTGGATGAGCTAATGAACAGAAAGAAATTTTATTTAACTAAAACTTTCTATGCTTGTACTTGAATTAAAACCAGAGTAATTTAGGTGTGAGGTTGTCTCCCTGCAACTGCAAGGCATGATAATATATATTTCTTGTCAGCCAAAAACACCTACTCTGCATGTAAATATAAACAACACATAATTTTCACTTCATTTCACACTGGCATGTAATGCTTAAAAACAGTTTTAAAAGCACATGCCAACCACATTTGATTTAAGCCAGAGTACAGTACAAAACAAAACAAAATCTTATCCTTGAAAATTTTAAATGAGTCTATTTTAGTCTTAGGATGCCTCCCTTTCTTATCAGCTAAATTAACTTTCTCTCAACTGAACTCAACTGTAACAATATTCTGCAGAATCAAATACAGATCTTGGACCATGGTCTCAAAAGTATTGCTTCTGCAACTTTGTCTTAACTAGAGTTTACATTCTCAGGTACTTTAAAGTAAGCCAGATCAAAAGGTAAGACATTAGGATAGTGGTTCATCATTTGGCAGTGATGCTACTTGAGGCGGGGTGGGTCTTGCACCCTTTTCAACTTCCTGCCCTTTCCCTTCCCGGTCTTTTCCCCTTGTTGCTGCCTCTTGTGTTGTGCTGGCACCAGCAATTTGACAAACACACAATGAACCAGATCAGGGAGCGTATCCAGTGGGGGTTCCCAGCCAAATCAGCACCACGATCTGATCTGCTGCCCAGCTGCAGGAACACCTGAGCCAGCACAGGGCACCAGTAAACTGCTAGGGGCAGAGACAGGAGAGACGGTAGATGTTTTAGGTAGCACTGCCACCGAAGCATTGTTTGAAGAGCTGTTCTTCAGCCTTTCTACTCTCTCCCCTTCCCTTTTTTCTACAACTGTTACAGATACCTACCTCCTCAGGTTGGGGCTGTCTTGCTGGGAACACTGCATGAAGGTGGAAAATTTTTGCCCCATCGCATGAAAATAAAGAAATACAGACTGCATGGATCACAGACTGGCATGAAGGACAAAAATATTAATCAGATCTTATTCTCCTTTGTTACCCATTACTGCTTAACTTTGCCCCTTCTCTGTCCCACACCTTTCCTATGGCTTTTTTCCACCCCTTTTATGCATTTCTGCCTAAACGTCCTTCCCCCTGATCCCGTTAGATTCCTACTTCATGCCTTTCTCCTCAGTTCTCTGCTTGGTTCTTTCCATCCATGCTGTCAAGCAGTTTTTACCCTGCCATGGGACAAAAGGCTGCTCTTTCAGCCCTGGACTGCAGCTCATCACTCCTTCCTAGGTGCTGGGCACCAGAGGCGCCTGTTGTCATGAGCTGGCCAGGAGCTTCTTGCTAGGCACTCAGCTCCAGATCTTGCCGGTGGAAAGCCTTCCTCACAGGGAACCTTTGAATTTGCAATAGCAGAGAAGGAAATTGTATTAAACATAGTTAACCTGTCCTCCAGAATAGAATGTTTTGGGAAGTTCATGAGTTTAGCAAAGAACCACAACAAACCCACAGATCCAATTTCCTACCCAGGTTGTGACTATCTTACTGAGTAGGACAGGGACTCTCTTGGGAGCAAGATAAAAACAAATGGTCACGTCATATGAAAAACAGCTGCTACTAAAAAAATTATCTGGCATTGAGAGCACTTTCCACATGTACTGACACTGAAACTTATGAGGCAACAACTGCCAAGATTAATTTGGGCTGGCTAGCACCTCAGAGAGAATGGGATGTTTCTAGGGTCAGAGATGGATCAGCTATATATAATTTATTTAAGTCCTTTACTCAAACTTCAGGGTTCCTGGTGAAATTTAATTTTCTATTACTGAAGGACTATTCCATTGTTTCCATGAGTTTCATCAGGCAGGATTTCTTTAAGCATCTCATAAGTACATCTGATAGTAAGCACATTTGCTGAACGTTACCTTAGAGTACTTGAAGGTGAGTTTGGCTGCTGACCTCCACTGTATGCTCATGAGGGAAAAACTGTATTAGACTGTAACTTTTTTTTAAGGCATCCAGCAGAGCTGGAGTAATTTAAAAACCATACACATTCCAGAAAGTGCACATTCCAGAAAGAGATTGTTTTATGCCCGTGAGTGACTACATGCTCATTTACAGAGGGAACCACTAACAGGAACAGCACATATTTTCTATTTTTAGATCATACTGTAACTTTTGAGATACTAAGTATATGGCAAAGCCATGCATATTAAGGCTTATTTCTTAAACACTGCTCTGCTTTTTTGTCTTCTTTTTCTGAAATGCAGGCTATGATCATTGCTTTTACATCTGATATGATTCCTCGCCTGGTTTATTATTGGTCCTTTTCAGTCCCTCCTTATGGGAGTCACAGCAGTCACACTATGAAAGGGTATATAAACAGTACACTTTCTGTCTTCAATATATCAGACTTCAAGAATGAAAGCAAGCCATTTTCCCCTTGGTTTGGGAACATAACAACATGCAGGCAAGTTTCAAATAACCATTTTTTCCAATGACAAAAATAAATATATTTTTTTAATATCTAAATCATCTAATTCAGTTATCAATATCCAGTAAGACATGTTAAAACACAATAAAAGCATATTTTGAATGTCAGAACTGAGTGGAAGTATTTACTGATGAGTTTGTTCTACTCAGAAAATTCTTACTTTATTTTGTTTTTCTCATAATTAATATTCTTTAAAAAAAAACCCAACACTTTAAAAGTTTTATAAGTAATTCTTAATACAGTGTCCAAAAAAAGGAAATTTCAAGTAAATATAGTTTATTCTGCAGATATGATTTTACCCATTACTGCAGTTATATGTAGCGAACTATTCCTGGATGTGTTCAGCAGGGACACGTCTTGCTCCATCCTCTGGCCACAGTGCCACACTGCAGAGATGCCTGAGACTAGTTCCTGACTTTCCTACATTGCTTTCAGATACCGGGATCTTCGCTACCCTCCTGGTGACCAACACCAATATGAGCATAACATATACTACTGGCATGTCATTGCAGCCAAGCTGGCTTTCATCATTGTCATGGAGGTAAGTGTAGGGGAGTTTGAGCATTACTTATTTAAACTTCCCTCCATGCAGGAAATCCTTCAAAGACATTCTGTCCAGGCACAGCTGTCAGAGTTGGTGATGTGTACTAGCATGGGCAAGAGCTTGTGAGATGTAAACTAAGTGTAGCACCATTAGAATAAGAAGTCTCTGAAGTCATGGCATCAGCTGAGTATTGCCCCACGTGTTTGCAGATTCTTCTCTCAAGAACTGTAAAATTATTTTTAGTATCGGAAATAGAAAGGACAGTTACACCAAAATATTTTTACATATACTTACACAAAATTTGTGCATAGGCTCATGAATACATATACATAATACATGTGCACTAGCAGAGTAATGTCTGTAAAGACAGTTGCTGCAAGAAGTGAGTCTCTAGGTGAGCATCAAAAAGCAATTGCTCCTTCCTCTGCAGCTACAATCTGGGCTTACAAAAGATGGGAGTTGGTCCAAGATGAAAGGAGAAGAATATTAGGTACTATTTCATTATAAAATGTACCTAGGGTCTGATACAGGGCCTACTGAAGTCACCAAAAACATGCAACTGGTTGGATCGGAGTTCTTGCAGCAGAGAAATGTCCGTTGTCCCAGAGTCCTTTGAACAAACCTAAAACAATTGAAAGAAACTGTAACCAGTATTTCCATGCAGGGGGGGAAGCACTGGGTACCAGGGTTCCCCAAAACCAAGCAGAGAAGTCCTTGTTAAAATCAGGATTAGAAAATGATAATTTCTTGTTTATCAGACAATTTTTCTATTCATTAGTGATGTCTTGCTTTTTAAAATACTGTTCCACTGTGATAGATACTGGTACAGAACCAGTTCAGAGTCTTACGAGATAATGTGACATTTTATTTAATAATAATAATAATAATAATAATAATAATAATAATAATAATAATAACATCCTATTCAGCCTGACTGACATTTTTTTTCATTTTCACCTTCCTCAGCATGTCATATACTTTGTGAAGTTTATTATTTCATATGTCATTCCGGATGTATCACAAAAGACCAAGAGCAAGGTCAAACGAGAGAAGTACCTAACACAGAAACTCTTACATGAGAACGATCTCAAAGTTGTGAAAAAAACCATGGGGAAAATTGCCGACAAAATTATCAGAGGAATAGACAGTACTTTCCAACCTAAAGCTGAATAAGTACTTTTTATATGGAATAATAGTATTTAGCCAACTAATACCTGTCCAGATATTACCAATAGCTAACCAAACGCTTCGGATTAATTCCCTTTACTAAAGAGTTTCTTGCAACTGTTACCTGCTCATTTTATGTATTTCCCTTGGACAAATGCAACCGCTGCAACTCAGATAAGAGTTATGCATTTTTTAAACAGCTCTGGTAGGACATATTTTTTTAACATGTAAAGATAAAAATTATTTATCATCTTAAGACAATGCAGATTAATTCTCAAATACATAGAATGCTTTCCACATTATTTAGGCATCAGCTATTAGATCTCTTGTTTGACTTGAATAAAACCTTAAGAACAACGATGATTTCTTGTAAGAATGCCATCACATCTTCTGAAGGAGTTTTGATTACTTGATAATGCAAACCCCAACTATAAAATGAAGAGGAAAAGCCAAAACGTGAAGGAAAAAGAAGGAAAATACAACTCAGAATGATGTTGTTAAGCCACTGGAATTGACATAGTAAGCGCTGTTGTGTGCTACACAGAATTAGCTATGCATACTGAGACTTAAATGGATAACAACGTATTTCAATTAATCATGGACTTGGATCACAAGAAGCAGCAGGACTGTAAGCCCATCCTGTTCATCAATCTCTGTGTAAACAGAATTGCCTTTGAAATCAATGCATACAAACTGACTTTATAGCACTCCAAGTGACTAGAAAACTCAGGCATTTTATCTTTCCCCAGTCAATGTATTTTCATTTGTTCACTTGCCCATTGTGCTCTGAATGACCATAGCCTTGAAGATCTCCTACCTGTAACAGTAATGAGTGTTCAAAAGTCTTTTCACGTACTAAATCAATACTTGTGGAGGGCTTTTTTGCATTTCTCCAACACCAGAGGCACTGTACTCTTCCCTGATAGACCATGAATCTATTGAAACTGGAGATTGGAATAAACCATTTAATATGCCTTAACCATGTTATGAAGCTTTAAATAACTAGGAGGGATGTTAGAGATGTGGATCCGTGCGCTAGAGCCATCAGTCATCTTCAAATTAGGCTGCAGATCTGCTTGGCTATTTTGGCTCCAGCTGCAAACTGTTGGGAGTTAGGGAATTACAGATAAGCATGTATGTAGAGCTCTGCTTTGTGTCTGCAGCAGTGATATTCCAGATTATTAACTTGCTTTCTTTTTTGAACAGTTTTAGTGGACCAATTTCTACTAAGTCTGAAAACAAAAAAAAAAAACTTGTTAAAAAAGCAAAAGTATGCCTGTACTCTGTAAACCAGGTGATTATTCTTGTGTTTGTAATGTCACACTCTTAAATGTAATAGATATGCAGAATTTTTAGGCAGATTAGAGATATAGCTTTTTATTAAAGATATAGCTTTTTTGCATATTAAGAACTTCATTTGCAGAAACTAAGTAGCATTTATAAGATATATGTTATCCCATTAGTAATCAGGAGGAATCAAAAATCTGATTTTTGTAGCAAAATTTCCAAATATTGACTTGTTCCTCAAGCCTGTCCTTTGAAACAGCAACATTTAAACCAGGAGAGGTGGTAGCACATGAGGGAAGTCCTTTCATCAGTCATGATACACAAGCTTTCACTCAGCAACACTTTGTGTGATTGCATGGAAGAATGTGAGAGGAAAGCTTGGTTCAGAAATCAAGGAAAGATTAAAGAAAGAGACTCACAGGTTCCAGAGAACCACTTCCATTTCTGACACTGAAGGACTGAAGCTTATTATAATGCCCAGAAAACTTTGTGTAGACACCACCTGAAGAGTAAAAAACACAGGACAGAAAAACAGACCATAACAATAAATGACAGTCAACCAGAGCAGCGATGGAACCAGTGCTTCTTTGCACAGGGAATTACCCTTTGCCAATTGTTTTGATTTCATCAGAATAGTGACAAATCTTTAATTTACCAGGAAGCAAATATAAATTGGGCAGACGGACAAACAGAAGTTTCTAAACAAGACAGAATTTCTTATCAAAATATATCTCCTCAATACTGATTTGACCTTTTCCCTGGGTCACAGGATGATTGGGGATGGAAGGGACTTCTGGATGTCACCTGGTCCAATCCCCTGCTCGGACAGAGCCAGCTGCCCAGGACCATGCTCAGACAGCTTTTCAATATCTTCAAGGATGGAGACCCCACAACCTTCCTGGGCAACCTGTGCCAGTGCTTGGTCACCCTCACAGTGAAAAATTGTTTCTTGATGTTCAGAGGGAATGTCCTGTGTTTAAGTTTGTACCCAATGCCTCTGGTCCTGTCACTACATAGTATACCAAACTTCAGTTTAAAACAAATTTTTGTCAGAAAAAAACTATTTAATGGAACAATTTTAGTGAAGTACTCAGACTTTCCTGTGCAAAATTAGTTTGGTTACAAAGGCCAGTCAGATTCTTTCAGACCTGGAGCTTTAGAATTTAGTTTTGATCTGGCCCTTCCCCATCTGCAGTTGTGTTCAGCTGAGAGTTGCCATTTTCATACCCCCCATCAGGAATCACAGCGCCAGTGTGCCTTAAATACCTTTTCACGTGCTGTGTTGGAAGGCTGGGGCAAGCAAGGAGACATCCTGTGATAAAGGAAAAAAGAAATGCAGCACTAAATGGGCCATTTCAGGTAATTATTTGGTCTTAAGGAAGTATTTATGGCCCTCTTTGAGAGGCAAAGAGACTAGGAAATAAAGAAATTGAGTGCCTTGCCTGGGGTCATATTGTGAGTTGCAGACTTTAAGGCTGATTTTTCAGGAGTGCCTGGTCATCTGCTCCTTGTTTGGTTCCTGTGGCCTCTCTCAGTTGCCCCTTTTTACATCAGTTGGCAGCATCTCCTGAAGGGAAACTTGGCCCCCAATGACACCGAGAGTTTATGTTCATTCCTTTAAAATAATTATTCTTTAAAAACCATGCTACATCGACAAAGTGTGTGTATCTATGACTTGGGCTCCTCCCGTAATAAAATCCTATTCAGCTTCGGGTGTGTTTCTACATTACCATTTTTGTTCAGATCAAGAGCGTGCTTTTGAAACTAGTCTTCCAGTTGTCCCTACTTTCGGGGCCGTGCTTTCCATCACAGACTGGTCTCGGGGCACATGGACTGGATTCCTCTTGGTTTAAACTGAACCAGGAGGCAGGTTTTACCTAATGGTTTCTAATAGGCACTTAATCCAGAAAGCTAAAACCCGAGCTAGGCTGAAGAGAGCAGTGAGTATTGTGTGGGCATCAACTTTTTGCTCTAGTGTTTTCCTTCTGAAATGCCACCCTCCTTGTTAAGGTAGCTGTAACATTTCATTTCTGAAAACATTATATCAGAAATGCATTTCATTTTGCCATATACACAGTGTTATTCACAACACAGTTCTGAATGAGAAAGAAGAAGAAAATCAACAGAGTGCCTAATAATTGCATTTTGTTTGATTTAAGATGTGCATTTCTGTAGCCCTTACCTCCAACTGCTGAAATATGCTCTACTTGTACACAGGGAGCTCTGTAGAGCCATCAGAACAAAATGCTGGGGGGGGGGGCAGTTGCCAATATATTTTTAACTTTCTTTTTTTTTAGGCTAGGTCACTTTAGTAATATTTAAGATCTTCTTGAAGGGAAAATTAACATTTGTTTTAAACTATGAATCAATTTTACTCTTTTTTACACTTGATATGTACGCCAGACTTCGTACAGATTTTTTGCAGTCAGGGTGAATTCAGACCAGTGATCATTTCGTTGCCTTAACAAGCATCATAAATTAGAGACCATCAACACTGTTTTAAACTGTGTATGTTGATAAAATTCAGAATGTAAGAATGTATTTTTTGTATTTTTTCTAGGAATGTTTGCTATTAGTTTCTGAATATTAAGATTTCTTAATATTTATTGTCATTAAATAAAGTCTATTTTAAAATAACAATACATCTGATGTTGATTAGCATTGTTTGTTTTTCCATGAATGATACTGCTGCTGCCAAATGCTATATTTAAATTCTTACAATGTCATCCCTGTCTAATTTCCATATTCCTCCTCTTTTTCAATCTTTTTCCATTAAACTGTTACTAGTACTGAAATTTATCTCCTGTTTTTTCTGCATCCTCTAGATGGAAGTCATTCCTTTCAACACCAAGTCGATGACAAGGACCATTATGTTCTCATACAAATAAACAGTTTAAGTCTTTATACCCTTTCACTGCTGTCATGATAAACCCTGTGTTATGTTTCAGAGTCATCATTTATTTCTTCATCTGGATGGAGTCTGTGATGCTCCCACCTCCAGGCAGTCCACTCTGTCTCTCCCAGCCAGCCAGCCATCAGTTCCTTTCTGCTTCTTCTACTTCAAGGAAATCCTTTTCTAAGACTTAGAGAACGGGAAGGCTGAAGAATAATTTTAAACAGACACCTTGTTTGCACTGAGGTGTGTTGGTCTTATTTCCCTTAGGGACTCCCAAGATCTGCTTTCAGTAGCTTTATGATCATTGTGGAAGCAGACACTACCACTTCCAACCTGTTTTCTGCTGACTAAGGGCTATGTGTCATGTTGATGCCAGTACCCAAGCTGTTCTGCCACTATTGCATTGATTTGGTTTTATCAGAGCAAGAACAGAAGAAACTTTGTGATGAAGCATAAGAAGGATCATTATCCTATAAGCAGAAGTATATAGGCCAAATCTCTATGAGGACGGTGTGCTCCTAAATTGACTGATACATTTTAAACCCTTCAAAGAACAGGCTTTATTATTTTTCTACTTAATACACAAGTAGCCAAAGTAGCATATTACTTCTGGTGGTCCCTGCTTAGTTCTAATTCTTTCTATCACAGAGTGGATAAATTGTGCTGCTTTTGGATAGCCAGGTGAAAGCAAGGTGTGCCCCACCTGGTACACCCCACCTGCACATCACCAGAAATGTCAGCAAATGTATCAGCAATTCACAGCAACTCTAGATTTTTCTCTGGTATGCCCACCTGTCACTTCCAGTCTACTAAATAAGTCTGCTTTTCCTGTACAGGGGAGCAGCACTTGTGGCTATGAGCTTTATTTTTATTTGCATTTACATGGACCTCAACCATGGTAACAGGTACACAAAACACTGGAAAGGTATGGATGTAGTTAGTCATAAATAACCTCCACATGGCTTGGGGCAATACTTTCCCCACAAGAAAATAGTGTATCTTAACAGACTGATAATAGTAGCATAGTCTTTCCGGGAAAGTTGAAGAAAGTGTTTTTTATTTAGAAGCTGGAAGTGCATCAAAACAAGAGCCTTTTAAAGTTACTTTCTACAAATTTTATTGCATTCTCTGTTACAGCTATCCTGTAAAAGCAATGCTAATTGCTGGGATTGAAGTTACAGTTTATCAGTCAGTAATGACGCAAAGAAATTAAATCACTTCTCTTGCTTTTAGAACGGATTCATCAATTCTCTGGTTATTCCAGGCAGTCCTAGCATGGAGTATGGAAGTGCACATCTGAACCCATATCCTCTATCCTCTTTCAAGCACACTCAAATGATGAGTGTTCTGCCAACTGTAAAGAACATAACTCCTGGCCTGCCTCACACTTCAAGATGCTCTTTTCCAGTAAAGAAAAAAAGTTTTCCATCCAATTGTATCAAGATATATTATTCTCTATAAATATGTGGGCTATGGTAACCTCCTAAATGCTGAAGATAAATAAAAATAATAAAAAACACACAGACCGCAGAGAAAATCCTACTGTGTTCCATGATGCAGTGAGCACAGGCCAGAACACCAAAAAGTCACCTCTGGCATATGAAGAGAGAGTTTATAGGGGAAAAAAGAAATTTATTCTTAAATTGTGGAACAGGAGAGAAATTACAGCCAAATCTGACTGCATTAACACATCTCAGGGATCCTTTTTTTTAATGCATATTCATGTAGTATCCATGTAAGATCTTCTGAGTGGAGACACACCACAAATGGCTAAATAAGCTGTGCTGGGAGCCAAAGCCATCTTCAGCTATCACCTTACCTCCCCATTCTCTGAGATCCCATTTGGTCTCCTGTTACAGCTGTATTGTGCTCATTCATGCAGTCATTTTCTAAACCAGTCTGGCTGCTCAGAATAAGCAGAGTTACATGTAAGCCTCTATGACAAGGGCACTGCAGGATCTTTGCTTGCTGGAGCCTGGCAAGCCAGTGGGAATAGTGACCAATAACCCCAGACTAGCATTGAGTCCTGAACATCCATCCACTCGACTGAGGGTCGATGGCACTTTTGGTTTGTCACATTCTTGGGTTTTATGGAGGTAAGAGCAGCCTGGCTACCAAGAGGTGAGCCAGGGGTTAAGGTTAATCGTTCAGTGAAAATACTGCGGTGGCCTTGCCAGCATAAGCAGTCAGGGGCTCTGCCTCCTCCCAGCCACCCCGGGGCTGCTTCATGCCAACCTCTGTTTGTGCAGCTGCATGCCGGGCAGGGGAATGCGGTGCCATGGGCGGCTGTGCTGGCACGGGTGGCTGTGCTGGCATGGGCAGCTGTGCTGGCATGGGTGGCTGTGGCCACACGGGTGGCTGTGGTGGCAGCACCAGCCCAGCAGAGGGTCCTGCAGGGCGGGTAGTGGGAGACAGGGCAGTGAGAGAGGCAACCCAGTCCCTCATCCCACCATTATTTACATGAGTTTTAAAAAGCAGCTTGCCTGCCTGCCTGAGCTGGTTACCCAGCTGAATGGGCAGGGCTGTGCCTTTAAAAGTCCCCTGCACAACTGCAAACAGGCAGGGCTGGTGTTGGCACCTGGTCTGGGTCCTCTAAATATCCCTATTCAGTGGTAGCTATTGTGCCTTGAGCTCAGGCTGAAGCCAAGTAAATTTTTCAAGTTCAGACATGCCCTCTGGGTGCTTCAACTACATAGAAGATTATACAGACAGCTAAAAATTAGCAGAATCGGACCCTTAAATCATTGTCTTAAATGTGGTTTTGCAAAGAATATGGCATTGTTATTTCTGAGACTGCCAAAATGTCACCTGGTCTCTGAAAACCTCAGAATGGCCAGGGAGTTTTGTGACAGCAGCCTGCAGAAACCTGCTGTGCAATTGAGGTCAGAGGTGACACCAGACAGGGGTATTTGCAGGAGGTTTCGGCCAGAGGCAGAGGTCATGGGCGAGGGTGACAGCAGCTCCATCCCCAGCAGTGCAGCTCCCAGGTTACAGCACTGACAGCTATGCCAAAGCAAAAAAAAAGCTGAAAAATTCTTGTCATATCTGCTGTTAATTAGTAACTACTTAGTCAGATCTGGGAAAAGCAAAAACTGATCAGCCTCTTGTGGAGTACCATACTTCCAGATTAACAGTAGGTTTTAGACCTGTTACAGCTCACAGCAGGTTTTTTTTTTAAAGAGATGCTAAAGTATTATCTTTTTGGTCTTTAAAAGGTATATATTATATGCACATTGCATATTATATCCCTGTTTTCACATGCGACTACAAATAAAAGAAAAAGGCTGCACTTGTGCTTTTCATAACTTAAAGCTTTAACTGGGGGGCATAAATACAAAAAATAAGCCAAACTGATTTTCTTTCCTTGTCAGCTGGCTCCCATATTTTTTCCCCAGTGATCTATAAGGGGGAAAAAAATGTCACCATCCCCCAAGAGAAGCCATTAACAAATCCCTTCTTATCTTGCAGCTAAAGTAATGACATCTTATCGACAGCCCAGCAGAACAAACAATGTCTTATTGAAAGCTCCAGTGCTGGAGGATTTGGGCTGTCCTCAGGACTTGAAACTAAGTAATGAAAACAGGTTTTGCTACTAAATCAAAGACAATGATTGCTCTAGCTCTCCAGTGGCCTTTAGCAGTCCCAGGCACACAGAAGTTGTGCATAGCTCACCAAGGTATCACCTGCACTACAAACTCAATCAAGTACGGGGACCTTACTATGAGAAGAATGCCC